CCCCCCCCCCCCCCCGGCCCTTTCCCGGGGGTTTCCCCCCCCTTTCTCTCCCGGGGGGGGGGCGTTTTCAAACTTTTCCTCCCCTGGGGCGGGGGGCCTTTCCACCCCCCGCGAAATCCCCAAGCTTTACCACCCCCCCCCCTTCTCCTTCGATACAAAAAAAAACAAGAGATTTACATAAAAAGTTTGGTTGTCCGCTCTCTCGACAACCTCCAACGAAAACACCAAAAACCGTATTCCTCTTTTTTTACACCCCCCCTTCCAAATTGTTGGGGCCAAGCACAAAAAAAGAAAAAAAAAAAAACTTGGGGTGCCCTTTTTTTTTTTTTCAAAGTCAAAATTTTTGTCCCTTAAACCCCTAATCAATTCCCCCCGGGCCCGGGCCCCCCCCCCCCCCCCCGCCCACCACTGGGCTATTGCAGGGGCATTGCCTGCCTTGTCAGTCCTGGGGGTGGGGCATTTGCAAATTTTGCTCTGCCTGGGGACTGGGCACTTTCCAACCCCCAGGAAATTCCCAAGCTTTCAACACGCACGCAGTTTCCTATCAGAATATAAGTACACAGAGGATTTTACTAGCAAAACAAGCATATTGAGTGCAGCTGGAATTTTTGACTGATGCACAAGGTCCCCAATGTTGACCGTTTGGTAGGAGACAGTTTTATTAAAAAGTCATGTGAAAGTTATTCATAGTAAATAGCAGTTTGAAATGATATAATTATATTTCTGTTTATCTTTCTTTTTTTCTGATCATTATATGTCAACCACACACTTATTGTCTTCAGAAATCTTGACAAGACCAGCCATACCGCGTGCCAGAAGCATATGACCCTCAGGGTTACCTCTGTGCGTACTTAAAATGTTAAGCTCACACAGGTTCGCAGTTGTATTAAGACCTAATTTAAAGGGATTTATACTGATCTGATGAAGTACCAAGATTTCACATAAGGTAATAGTTGGATATTTACCTTACAGTGCTTGAGAGCCTCCTTATATTCCTTATTTTTGATGCACTCTCGTGCATTTTTCAAAGATGTCTTCATTTCTTTCGTGCCTGTCGCCATTTTGAAAGTGTTCGTTACTACTTCATGTAAAACGAAGAGGAAGTCCATCCCCGCAAGGCGGATCGCGCCAGCTTCCGAGATTCAGGGAAGAACGAATTTTTCAATAAAGAAAACAGTTTAGTTTCGAGGAGTTAAGCTAAATAACGAGGCAATGACAAAAACAAGCACTTGTAAGAAATTTATTAATTGTGAGAAAAAATCGTATTCAAAGTGAATACAAAGGTGGCAGGCCCCAAGAAGAGGTCTATCTCTCTAGAAAAAAAATAATCATATCGATCTCAATGTTTTACAAAACTTGAAATTATTCCGTTTGCCTTGATCGGAGACAATCCTCAATCAATGACGTGTCCTACAAAGCGAACAATTTAAATCGAAGGTAGTCTCAAAGTTACTGCAGTCACCAGGTGTCTAAGGTTGATTATGAGCATCAAGCCAGAGTCATCCCTTTGAAATCTATCAGTATTCCACCCAGTTTTGAGAGAAATAACCATGATCAAACTCCATTTCTTGGTGTTAGTTGCCGCGACGTACTTGGCCAATTAAGGGGCACGATCTCAAGGATCAAAACAAATTATTGAGCTACGCCGCTGACTACCGGTATCTTATAGCTTATGAAATCAATGTCCAAGGATGGAAGAAGAGAAAACGGACTTGGTATAGAAGAGATTATAGTAGGGGTGCATTTTAAAAATTGTTATTGCTAAGGGTGGGGGGGTACAATTTACAACATAATAACAAATAAGACTGAACTCCCGGTTCTGCGCGCTAAACATCGCCCTAAGCCACCATTAGATTCGATTACTGTGGGTGATGCTACTGTGGAGCCCACATCTAGCCCACGGAACATTGGTGCCGTCTTCGACGATGCCATGAGTTTCGAGGAACACGTCAAAGAACTATGCAGTGCTGCTTTTTATCACATCAGAAACATCAGTCACGTCCCGTACCTTAGTATTGACTAAACCAAAACACTAGTGTATGCATTAGTAACGTCTCGCTTAGATCATTGTAATTCGCTTCTCTATGGCCTACCTGATTATCTTATTCAGAGACTACAATATGTTTTGAACGCGGCGGCCAAAGTGATCACTTGCAAGCGAAAGTTTGATCATGTCACACCACTACTTATTGAGCTACACTGGCTCCCGTCCGTCAGCGTATTGTTTTTAAGATCTTATTGTACATCTTTAAGGCACTCCATGGTGCGACTCCAACGTATCTGACTGAGCTCATCAGTCCTTATGTTCCTAGGCGAGCTCTTAGGTCTGCTGACCAACCTCTACTGGAGCAGCCAACGCACAAGCTCAATTTGATTGGCTTGAGGTCTTTCTCAGTGTGCGCGCCTTACCTCTGAAACTCGATTCCATTTGAGATTAAAAGCAGCGCATCTGTCTCTATCTTTAAAGCTAAGTTTAAGACATAAGTTTTTCGACAAGCATATTTTTAGACTTTCAATGTTTTTTCTTTTTTTTTTTATTTTTAGGACTTTTAGACTTTTGATTTTTTCGATTCTTTGGATTTTTTACATTTTTTAGTGTATAGATTATAATATATTTGACACTGTAAAGCGCATTTGGGCGTTAGGAAAATGCGCTATAGAAATTTATTATTATTATTATTATACGTTATTATTATTATTATTAATCTTCATATGTAATTATTTTGCGGGGGGGGGGGTAAACTTTTGATACACCACACTTTTCAGAAAAGGTAAATTTCCTCCCGGAACAACGTTTACAATCGGTTCCATTTACCAAAAAAATGCTGCGAAGGCCTGAAACTGATATCAAAGCTAAGATGACTTTGAAAATGAGACACGAATTTCCGTATGCGATATTCCGTCCGGAAAAACAAGGCTAAGGTAACCTTTTCAGTTGTTCCGCGTTGCTCTCGGAAATTTATTGCTGGAACTTTCCAAAAATCGTGTTCCATTTACTTTCCGACCGGATTTTCCGGAAACTTTTTGTAAATGGTAAGGAACCATTTTCTATTAGCATTTCATTCTTTGAAGCAGAAATACTTCCCAGTCAAGCAAGACACCCTTCGGACTCCAATAAGGGGTGAATTAGATCAAATTTACCCTCATCTCTTCTTTTTTGGAGTACATACCCTTCGCTCAAACTTGAAGCACAGAAGAGTTTAAATAGTTTTTTGATCAAATGACAGCAAAAAATGGAATGATTTTTCGCGGCTCTACACGCAAAACTCTGAACTAAGAAGCGACGATTAATTTGGCTACGCTCACACGTCGGCACCGGATCAGGCTGATTTAGCAACAGAACGGGAACGTCAGTTGACGATGGCGCGCGCAAATCAAACAACTGGCTTGACCAATAGCCTGCGAAAACATCCGTTTCTCCTCGCTCTTCGCCGCTGGAGACGTTTAGCACGTTAATGCGTATGCTAAACGTCTCCAGCGGCGAAGAGCGAGGAGAAACGGATGTTTTCGCAAGCTAGCTTGACCAATGGCTGAGCGGCAAATTGGGCACCGGAAGTCGAGTTCCGTCCTTTCCGCGCGTTTTACCGTCGTCAAATGATGTTCCCGTTCTGTTGCTAAATCAGCTACATCCGGTGCCGTGCGAACATAGCCTTAAAAAAGGTTTTTATGGTAACATCAAGAGACAAGAAAATGAATAGTTAAGATTTTTTTTGAACCAACACACGCAAAGAAACGAGGAATATTCATGACACGTTCATCTCGCTAAGCTCTAAGCCGGTATACCTTTTGTGTCAACGAACAGAACGAAATGGTTAAGTCAAACTCAAACACAAACCTGAACTTCAGCTCAAACTCTGGCTCCTCTAACAATCAATTAAGCATCAGTCATAATCCAAGACATGACATGACAGTAAGGCAGCTGTGTCTGTAGCATGTCTACACACATTTTTTTTCTTTTTTTTTTGGATGAATTTGGCGAGCGCACAAGCTAAGCGAGTACTAGAAAAAAGAAAAAAACTAACAAGTTACAGTTGTTCCAAAGATGTACTACGGACCGTCTGTTTTCCCATTTACCAAACCCTACACCCTTGGGCTAGCGATCCATAAATCCCTATTAATCATACCTAACTGTAACAAAATTCTCAGAACTGATTGGCTATCAACTGTCCTGATTTCAGCACTAATAGGACGGTGTAATAGGACAGTACGCGTCATGCATAAGTATTTGGACTGTACAAGCCATCGTACGCGCGCACTTAAATGGCTTTTTTCACTACCAGCAAAAAAACTCTCGGAATTTCTTGTGTTTTAATTTCAAAAAAAGCCTGCAATATCACAAATTTTGTTATAGTTATGATTAATTGGTAACAGAAATTCATGTCCAATTCGGTCTGTAATCATACTCGTGATTAAACAGATCGGACTTGCGCTACGTGGTCATCCGATTTTGTCAATCGCTCGTATGATTACCCACTGAATTGGACTCTACTCAGTCCTATTGCCATTATAAATCAGGACAGTTGATAGCTAATCAGATTTGAGAATTTTGAAGGTCTGTGAAATATCGGGTACTGTGTGTAAGGCAAAGGATACTTTGAATTCTCTGTGTATAAAAGAAACTGTGTGAGTTTGTGTGACTTAAAATGTTCATTTATTGATCTGAGTGGCAAAGACTAGTTAAATCCTTCACACGCTCTCAGGGTTTTCTCCGTTACTAACGCTTTTTCAGTTACCAGCCTTATCAAAACATAGCCTGCGAGCAAGCTCTCGATTCGAGTTTCCTTTTGCATGCGGCTCCCGCGTGACTCCTCGCGACTCCCCCAAATGGAGGGCATGTTCGCAGGCTAATCAAAATGGGATCACTAAATCATCAGTTCATTTGGTTTCTCTAATACACAAGTGATGTTAATCTAAACATCAATTTGTTTAAAGCAGTTGTACATGTACATTTGCTATGTTTCCGCAGTTGGCTTTTTTGGTTCACTTTCCTCCATCTTCCCTTCTTTACACTGTTTATTATTTAACTCAATTTCATTGGCACAGCTGATGAGTGAGTCAATATTGTTTATAAAGGATTTAAAATCCTCCATCGATGTCTTTGCAACCTTTTCCACAAACTGTTTATCTGAGGTTGTGACGATAAGACCTAGTCCATAATCATCCATCCTCATCTCATCTGTAATGCGACCCACATGTTTCAAAAACTGGTGCCTTTCTCTTATTCGCTTTAGAGAACATTGAAACACGCGAGGGCAGCGTGCAATGCTGGATGGGCTCAAATTCATTTTCTCAAAGCAGTAATTGTATTTTTTAAGGATTGCTTCTTCACTAAATGTCAAAACAGAAGGCTGTTTAAGGATTAAATTCTTTATATGGTGCTTGTTAAATTTCAGTTCTTTCTCAAACAGCTCGATTTTTTCTTCCAGAGATTTAACGGTGTAACTGGCGATGAGGTGAGGGCACTTGGTCAGTACATGAAGTATTTCATCAGTGGTAAACTTTGGTTTGACTTTCAAGTTCTCAAAAAATTTTACCTGGGAAAAGAATAATGAAAGCATCAATAAAAGGTTATAATGTAATAACAACTACCTCTATACTGTACACACTGAGGTACATTTTTATAACTGTGCTTGATGTATGGGTGGGAAATTTAACACCATATCAGAGGGGTGGGGTTGAAAATATTGACTTGAATTCATATGCCTCTCAAAAAGTAATGCCTCAGTCTGACTGTGGAACAGGTAATAAACGCTGTCAAACCTCATAAGCCACCACCTAAAATGCAAAGACTTAGTGGCCACTTATAGCAGCTGGTGGTCGCTTACCAGAATAGAACCACGGGGGTCTCTTCCAAGAGGATCTATGGACATATTTACTTTATGGAAGATAATTTATTGCATGCAATTTCTAAGTTACGATATTGTAGTTTCATGCATGTTGTTACTCAAGTTCTTTTTACATTCTAAGTAGCATAGTACACATAGTGAACATAACAGATAAGATAAATTGCCAAGCTGGAAAATGTAATTTGTTTGTCCCAGGGTGGGACATTATTTTGTAACCTATTTTTAAGCCCCACTGTGGAGCATTTGCAGCTTTACAAACATTGGGCTATTACATTTTAATATCCACACCCTTCCGGTTGAGGAACATGGAATTCTCCGGGGTTAGAAATTGAGGATTTCTTTAGGGATAGAGTAAAAGAATATGGAATTCTTTGGGGTGAAGCTTTAATTTTCATGGAATTCTTCAGGCGTAAACCTATATTCTTCAGGGGTGGGACCCATATTCTTCAGGGGTAAGCCCACATTTTTTATGGAAGTCTTCAGGGGTGAATGCAATTTAAGTCCTCAAATGTGGGGGGGGGGGGATATTTAATGCAACAGCCCATTCTGGTATATTTGCTAACCGTAAAAATGAAGAACTGTCTTACCCAAAAAATCTGAAAATGTGAGACCCCATTCTAGTAACTCTATTGAAAATTTCACCCGATTATTGTCACTCCAGTCACAAAAAAGCAACCCCACCCACCCGCACATCACCTCTAGACTCTTATAAGAAAGTAGTCCGCCCCCACACCCAAACGCCCCCCACCAAACGCCAGGCCAAACTGTCTTACCCCAAAAATCTGAAAATGTGTGACCCCATTCTAGTAACTCTATTGAAAATTTCACCCGATTATTGTCAATCCAGTCACAAAAATGCAACCCCATCCAGCCGCACATCACCTTTAGTCTCTTATAAGGAAGTACTCCCCCCCTCCACCCCCCCCACCCCCGCCGAAACCGGGACTGAGCCATTACCTTATCTGGCAATGATATTTCTGTTCTTCCTGTCAACACGCCAGGCGACTCCTTAACGACATAAGCCACAGATTCGGGATAGATTCCAGCCTTTTTCATGGCTTCTATTCGCATCCTCAGCAAATTCTCCTTTGCTGTCAAAATACCTGGTCTTCGAGAAATTATTTTCCCTTTATCTTGATGCTCAATCCCAATTTCGTCCAGAAAGTTTAAAATTTTCTTCACTTTCTCAACTGACAATTTTTTCACGTCAATCCTGGCGTTATTTTTTTCCACTTTGAAACCTATGTTCTCTAATAAACTTTGCGATGTAACTCGTTTCACTTTACACCCTTCTAAATGCTTTTCAGCACTTTGCGAGCAAATGTTCGTTTTCTCAGTCTTGCGTAAAGATTGGTTCGTTGTTGACGAATGCCGAGCTTTTCTTCGTATGTATGTCATATGATCAGCATGTATATAACTTGTCTGGTTCAATGACACCATTTTTCGGAGAGGAATAGAGTCCATTATCCGAACATAGCGAGACACCGAGGAGGTCGCCATCTTTACTTTCATTAGATCCCAGTTTTCTCACATGTAGGTCACGCAAATCTTTAGGATTGCGTGATAGGTGCTGGACTCCCCCAGAGAGATACATACTCTTCACGCGAATCAAGATTTTTGTCCCCTGATAAGAGGAAGATAAGAGGGCACGAGCGCTTATCAGAAAACCTGAACACTAGCTTATCTAGTAATCGTTTACGTGACACTCTACATTGCAGCGTACCCTAACTAGTAGCCTGGTAACCAAAATGCCGCAAATATCACGTGAATCAACGTGAAGATCAGGCAAAATGGCGGAAAAGTGGGTTTGTTCTATTGTTCCACTTCTCTTTACAGCTCATCTTGTGCTTCCAGGAGTTTTAGGAGAAGAATGTGCTCCAGTTAACCACAATATTAAGGTCCTAAAAGAGTAAGTTTGTCGTCGATAGATTTTTGTCTGATGTTTTGATTTGTGTACAGGAGGGGTCGAGTGGCACATCGATCGGTAGTTTCGAAAACGAAGCACTCGAAAACGAAGACTTAAGCAGGAAGCACCCAAATCTCGAAAACGAAGCACCAAGAACTGGAAAACGAAGCACCCAAATCCCGAAAACGAAGCACCCAAACTCGAAAACGAAGCACCCACCCAAAACGCGGAACCTGTCTGCCCTTAAAAACCAAAATGAAAATGACGGAAGAGGAAGCGCTTTTTTGGCCCCAGGCTATTACCCGAGGACAATTTCTGTCTGGATCTGATCTGTATCACGCAGTGTCATAGATCCCTAATATGTCGTCATAAACATGTATGTGTACCCAAAAAATGCTTATTAGATAAGATGTGTCAAGTATCACGAGACTAATGATGCAGGACTTGCTATCTAGAAACGTTCAGTTAAACAGCAGCCTGGTCAAACAGTTCGCAGGCTCAAAATAAAACCTTAGGATGGATTTGTGGACCTTTGGAGGTGCGGATGCATCCATTGTCTCCTTAAAGTTGTAGTTTGTCAACGTAGAGTGGTTTTGGGTGCTTCGTTTTCGAGTTTTGGGTGCTTCGTTTTCGAGTTTTGGGTGCTTCGTTTTCGAGATTTGGGTGCTTCGTTTTCTAGTTTTGGGTGCTTCGTTTTCGAGATTTGGGTGCTTCATGCTTCGGTCTTTGTTTGCGAGTGCTTCATTTTCGAAACTACCCAGGTCGAACTGTATGAAGAAATACAACGATCAAGACCCTTGTTATCTAATTTTGAGTCCAAGACTAATCCAAGGCTAGGATACAACATGAAAAAAAAAAGGAACAAACATAACAACATATATGTGATGTGTTGGGTTACAAGGTCTTAAAACAGATCGCACACATATTATTTTGAGGTGCTGTGTTACAACGGTCAGAGGTTTGTATGAGACTGAAACAGATGTAATTCAAAAAAAGAAAGAAAGAAGGTTAATTTATAAAGAAAGTTACCTTACCTTGTTTCAATGTTGCATTCCTTGTCTTTCATCTGCATTTTAGCCCAATTTCAGAAGATGTAGCTCAACAATTTCGTGGGGAAAACACGGGAGATGGCAATTTGTCAAGATGGGCAGAAATCAGGCTTAAAAGCAGATGAACACCTGGCCCCGGTTGTTTAAAAAATGAATAGCGCCATCCACCAGATAAATCAGTATCCAGCGGATAAGTAGTATGAAGACCAAATGCGTTATTCATCGGATAGTGATTTATCCAGTAGATAGTGCTATCCACCTTTTGAACAACTGGAGGCTGTAGTGAATGACATTTCTTGCCCTGAGACATTCATTATAAACAAAGCAACTGGTTTTCCAATTCGTGTTTACATGACATGTTTACTTTTATTATTATTATTTTTTTTGCATCCTTTTCTATTTCGTCGCTGACTGTTTTAGCATCCTGTATAGTCACATGACTTCTAGGATTAATAAAAATGTATGTATATATGTATGACTGTGTAATTAGACTGCTAGCAGTCCCTCAGCTGGATTGTCCCACATGAACGCATGTTACTTGTAAGTCAGGAAAAGATGAAATGAAAAGGAAGGGCTGCATTCCCTTATACTGCTACTACTATATGCCAGCCAAACTACCTTGCAAGCAAGTGTAACAGTAAGTTGACATGTCAATAAGTAGAATTGTTCGAGCTTGAAAAACAGTGTGTTGACCATGCCTCCTTGTTTATGGATAAATCACATTTTCCATTGTCGGGGCTGCAGTGAATTTGAACACGTTGATTACAAAAGAGATTGTAGTCATCTCTTTTCTTTTCATCTTCTCCTTCACATGTTTGGTTATAATGGATTCGTGCATGATATTTTTGCATTTTTTTGTCATTAACATCTAGGCGTGAGTACTGGGAGTTTGAAATACAAGATCCGGGAGTGCCAAGATGCGATCAATTCGAAGTAGAAGGCAAAAACACCTCATGTGTATTCTACTTTTCAATATGTAAAGAAGTTCCGGGATACTGCCCTGCAGGTTCTGGGATTTGTCTGGCAAACAAAGTCTTTCTTGCAGACAAACTGAACAAAACTTTGTATACACGATTTATCGACATTGGAACTGCCAGTAAAGATTTCAATTCAGGTAGGGCTCTAGTCTTATTTAGTCAACATTCGCAGTAGGTCGAGATGCAGTTGAACTTCCTGTAAGCTTATAATATTATTAGGGTCAGCTTAAGGGGTGGGGTAACAGTAAAAAAAGTTAGTTTGTCACTGGAGTTCAAAATACATGCTTCAGTCCAGATAAAGAACGGCGGCCCAGGAATATTGCCAAAATCGCAGGAAAAGCTAGAGATTCATATATGTGTACATACAGTCAACTTTCGCCTTGCAGACACCCCGTTATTATGCAAACCCTGATAAAACGGACAGTAGCTAAATCCCTGGCAAAAACAAATTACAGACATTTGACTGAAAGAAACTCCGACTATTATGAACTCTCGCTAAAGAGGACACTAACTCGCAGTCCCTACAATGTCCTCTATAAAGGGAGTTGATTGTATAATGAATCGTTCCATTGTGTGTATCTGAAAAAGGGAAATTGTTGCCAGCATTAACCTCCACAGGTGAGGTGACCAGTCGCAGCAATTTTATGACCATTATATAGATTATGGCATATATAGAAAACCCTCTGATCATTTGAAGGCTGTACAATCAGTGACGTGTAGTAGTGTTGCACAATATTTTTAGAATAGATTGATATTTTTCAAAATCTGTTCATGAAGACAAATTTTTAACCATGGTGGTTAATGCATGTATTGCATTTGTTTCTTTTCAAATGTTGATAACATTAGTTTGTGGTAAGGACTTGAGGTTAGAAAATAAGCTTCGAATGAGGTTAAAATGCAAAAGAACATTTATAAATAATAAATTATAAATGGATTATCTTTTAGGATTTAACCATTAAATTACTCTTGCTTGCATAATTTAATTATCATTACCTTCAGGAAATGGTCTCCATTCCCTTATTCATTTTTCATTTCTTCTTTTCTTCTTTTTTTCACTGCTGTCAAGGACCAAACGATTTCACTCTGACATTCTTTCACTCCAAGTCTACTATAACTCTATTCACGTTCAAGTGTGACGAGTTTGCAAAGTGGGAAGATCATTTAGATGATGGTAAAGTTAATCAATACCTAGTCAGTGCAACTTATCCCCTTGAGGAATATGAGGTATTAAGAACCGGGCATATTATTATTAAACAGTGCTTAATACATGTAGTCTTTAGAATTTATAACGTCATCTATGTGATCGAAATATAGGTGGATTGAAAAGGAACTGTGTTCTGTCTTCATTTGTGATTAGTTTACTAGTTCGAGCACTCTGGCATGGCTTAAATGATACCACAATAATAATTGTGGGATCATTTGGGGTGGCTTTATAGCTAAACCTCCACCATAGCATCAGTGGTGCTGCAAAAGTAATGTTTACATACAAATGTGCCTTTTACAGTTAAAGGTGCATATTTTAAAAAATGCAAAAGCAAAAAAGGAAGGCTGACACAATGTGGTACATGTGGGTAAGGTGCATGTCATTGGAATATCTAAGAAAATCCAGGGATGTTTGCGATTTGATTGACCTTTCTCAAGAAGTGATTGGATCTTGTGTGATTATTCACATTTTCCATCAAAGCAACTTCAAAATACCTGACCACCTTGAATCAAACTTAATCAACTGCTCCATTTGTCCCAAAGTGCTAAAAAGTGTGTTTCAGTTCACAGTCCTGTTGTACTTTGAGTCATCGAGTAAAACGACTGAAGTACCCGAGTCTTGTGGTTTCAAATTTTGAATTAGTTTAAGTTGCTTGAGAAGAATCATACATAAATTATTATTTGAAATCGCTTAATTTGAAGTCTTAAAAGAACATAGAATGATCCTTTATTCTTGCATTTGTTATGCAGTAATTTTGAGAATTGTGGGTCTCCAGGAGCAACATTTAAAGATGCATTAAAAGTGGCTGAGTAATCTGAACTTTAACCTTTCCATCCTCCTTAGCTGCAAACGCGAACACCGGCTGGCCACGATGCAATTCAGACTGTTTCTTTTTCATCTTGTTTTGTTTTAATTTTTCTCAGGCTCACATGTGTGCTCCTCTATTAGTTTCATTTCTCCTTTATCCCTCTCACTCTTAACCTGTGTACAGACAAGAGGGGGGCGTCTGTACACAGCCTATCCCACTCTCTAAAAGACAAAGGAATGAAAACTAAAAAACACGTAAGAACAGGGGTCAGAGAAGCTGTTCTTATGGATACAGTGTAAGCCAAACTCTCAGGATTTGATGTTCACTCTCTCTCTCTTCTCACATTCAGTACAGTTTTGTGTTCAACTATTCTGGTGCGTGCAAACAGGGCGGTGGTGGAGGTGGTGGTGGTGGAGGAGGAGGTGACGAGGGACCTAAGGATGTTCTGAGTGTTGGCTCAATTCTACTTATTGTGTAAGTACTGTACTGCTTTTAATTTCCTTTGTTTTAGTTTCTTATCACCGAATTAGCAAGATAATTTAGACTACAATCAGAGCCTCGTTTTCCTCAGGGTTAGGCCTGTCCCGGCAGAGCTGAGTCAACTTTAGCGAACATTTATTTGTTTTAGACAAAACTTAACCCCTTTGCCCGATACGTGCGAAGAGCTGAAAACAACGCTCGCATATGCTCTGATTGACTTTCCTTGACCGATTTGACTCAGGTGGGCGGAGAAAAAGAAGAAAAATTGGCCCCGCTAGAAGGCTGGTCAACCTTCTAGTCGAGGCATTTTTTTGTTTCTCAGGTAAACGATTCGCCGAGTTATGAAGGGAAATGTAGGAAACGCTGGCTCGCGCAGGGTAGCTTGGATAAGCGAGTGAAAAAACAGCGCCTTATAGCAGAGCAAGGGAAATTCGCGAGTGCACTGTACATGCAGGGTTGTTTTTGTTAATTTTTCATCAAAGCTATCACTTTTAGACGTTCTCGTTGCCATTGCCATCGCCGTGGTCGTTGCTAAAGTTTCCTGGTGTCTGGGGAACTCCTCCCTCCCCCCCCCCTTTCCGCCCCCGCCGCACTTACCTGAAGATCCAGATCCGGTAGTGACGTACATTTCCGTGGGGTATTTTAAATTGCTTTACTCAAGGGTGTACCCTCTTGTTGTGTTTAAGGCCTAGGCAAAAGTCGAACTTACACTATATCGTGAGACGAAGCAAACTCTAATTTAGGTCGACTTAAGTTAAGATCTTCTGTTGGGTCAGAAGTCGAACTTAGGACGCGTTGAACTAATCGACTGACTCAGACTAAAAAGCAACTTTCTCACTTTTAAATTTTTCCCGAACGAGGCTAAATATACATTTTCATACAATTAGTTTAGTTCGTTCGTTCGTTCGAAGATCGACGTTTTTGTCCCGGAGACGATCTACAAACTTTCTATCCGTCTGAAGCAGGCGAATAGAACGTGTTTAACGATCCAAACTCACACAGACGACCTTATATGAGCCAGAAAAGATTGGTTTGTCTCATGAAAAGGTCGACGTTTGGCCAAGGCCTAAGTGTGACAAGTTTTTCCTTGTGCAGATTTTTTCCTGGAATATTTTTGTATTGCGTGGTTGGAGCACTGATCAATAAAGGGTCTGGAAAGACTGGTAAAGACATGATACCAAATGCCAAGTTCTGGTCAAATCTTCCAGGACTGATTTCGGTAAGTGTTTTAGTGTCCGAGAAGTTACCATCGTTTTTATAACTTGTTCCACGCAGACATTTGCAGGCTAATGAAAGAAATTTTTTTTAATCATCACGGAAAAAAAGAAAGGACCCACCGAAGGATTTTACAACCCTATAAACATGTTCTTTTTTAGTAAGCACCTAAATTAAAAGTGCATCAGAATGGTTTTGAAAACTACACCTACGCCACATTTATATTTTAATGGCTTTCTTTGTCGAGATAGGCGCACCGGTTACGACGGAATTGAGAGAAAGAAAGAATCTTTGACTTTCCGTACAGTATTAATTACGGACCGAAAGTTCCATGAAGAGAACGTGGAATGACTGTGTTATAAATAATGCTGTTATTTTTTAAATTAAGGTTTGAATAATTTCTCTTTCAGGATGGATTCTCCTTTGTTATATCGAAGATCACATGTTCGGAGATGTCCACAACACAAGAACGTTACGACCGCATGTAGTTTTCGATCGTGCATTCCAGGTTTAACTGTGGACTTGTTACGTCTGTAACAAGTTAGTGTGAAAAAAAAAGCTGAGTGCATCTGCTTTTAGTGATGTAGCAGCTCAATCCGTGGATTAAAATGCCTTGGTAAACAAGCAAACCTTTTAACAACATTTTGTGCTTAGTGTAAGACGTTGTATTGTAATTTTTCGTCATGTTTCAGGGCCTTAGCGCGTATCCCAAAGCATTATAGTGTATAACATCGTGGCAGTTACTGCAACTGACTGCTTGTAGTTGGAATCTGAAAGGAAAAGCATGATCTGCAATAAACGTAAACATAAAGTACATAAACTCAACTGTAGTAGGTAACTTACGCGACTTTAAATAGCCTTTACAGAACACTTTTGTCCGGAAATGCAAGAAAACTCGGAACTTAGGTACTTCATACTGGACACAATTATTTCCATATGACTTCATGTAGACACTAAGAGGTCACGTGATCAATGCTTTCTTTAAACAATGACTTGGAATCTTGCTGATGCCAAACATTGACAGAGCACATGAAAATTATCTTACGCCCGAAATTTGAGAGGAAACGCATTGAAGGCAGATATTTTATGGCACTTTGATTTTTCAACAAAGTAGTATGATTTGTATTGGCCGCCATGTTGGAGGGCATACTCTAGCCCTCCAACATGGCGGCCAAAACTACTTTTTGCTTATATCTTTAGACGTTTGACAGTTACGCTCAGATGTGCTGTAAACGTTACCACATCATCTTTTCAACATTTTCCTCGAAATTTAAATGCAATATTTGTGTTCAGTAAGAGGTAATTCATAATTTTAAAAAAAAATCACATTTTGGTCACGTGACCAGCTACGAAGTTACTCATTTTAAGAAAATGGTACGGGTTTGAAAAACCAAATCACTATTATTTTGCTTAAGATATGACCCACTAATCGTTTTTTGAAGGCAAAATCACATAACTTTCATTTTCATAAAAACGATGTCACAGGACCTCTTAGTGCAAATGGCCTATTGCTTACGTTTAAGTGAGGATTAGGGCGAGGGCACACTTCGTGATGTTTACCATGAGGAGCATGAATCTCATTACAGACGCTCAGTAAACTGGGCTTAGCCAATAACCTCTCCGTTTTAGTAGGCGGTGCAAATTTTAATGAAACCGTACCTGCTTAGTAAGGTCCATTCATTACCCTTAGAATGGTTTTCTCACGTTGAAGTCCTCGTGACCATTTAAGTTCTCCAAGTATCTTGATAAAAAAAAATCAGAGTGATATTTCAACACCTCTCACGTAAAATGTCGGATTAGAAAAATTCACGTCGTAGTCTTGCATGGCCACCGCCAGAAATAAATGAACCAAAAAGAGTGATGCACGTGCTAAGATTTAATTTTGCTCATTCAGCTTATTCTTCTTTACGTTCATGCCATCGCCGTCGTTGTTTCGTAAGCTCCGCTATTTTTAATGCGCCTAGTTTTCATTAGCAAGGGAGCAAGAGTCCGATTCCGTTTACGACTCCGTTGCTTACGATCAAGTGAAAAGCAGATCTGTATGAGTCGCAACCAGGGGCGGAAGAACTAAACCACCAATCACAACGCATGAGAACGGCAGTGGGAACGAGCATTGTGATTGGTTTATTCTTCGCCTTCCGACTTCCGACGGCTTCTGACTCCCGAAACACTAGTTTTCACCAAACGTAAGGCGACAGAGTTAAAAGCAGAGTCGGAAGAAAAATGAACCATTATCAATCCATCAACCCTATGGCTCACATTACGACTCCGTCGTTAGCGAAAACCAACCTTTAGGCTTTAAGGATAGGCTTGATACTTCATTTATTTACATGAAGGCAGGTGTTCACAAAGTTGTAGATAAACTTTGGGAACTAAATACTGGTACTAATTTTTTGTTCACTTCAATATTGTTCACAAGTCTAATATATCGTACGTGTGACTTAGTCTAGTTTAATTATGATAATATGAGCGGGGAAAGATTTAATAGTGGGTCAATAGTCAGCTTGCCATCTGCTTAGCGTTACTGTTAAGAAACGGCCTATGGTACATAATAATGTGGCTGTCTGTGTATCGTACAGTTTGCTTATGTAGGTTGTTAGGCACCATATTAAATATATTGAATATTTTGATTCAGTAATGTGTCAGTATTTAAGAGGATATAATGAATTGTTGGTCAATAAAAAGCTTTGTTTTATGTAGATGTATTGTAGGAGATAATTTCGCTGTACCTTCTTGGGTAGGAAGTCGACATGAGCTCACTGAAGAGTGCATGATGGTGATTGCAATTACACTGAATTCAGCTTGGGAGAGTCTCAACCCTCGTCCGCGTTTTAGGATGACTGATTAAAGATTGGCCGCTAATAATAAAGCAGGGGAAAATGTGTAGCCGCGGAATGAGAAGCGAAAACCGGTGCGAAGCCGTGGAAAAAAGCGGAAACCGATGCAAAAATTGTGTAAAACCATGTTATGAATTAGAGTTTTACCAGCATTTTTAAGCTTTTATGCTAGACATGTCAGCCCGTCAAGACATTTTACCAAAAAATTAAATTATACCTAAGAAATGTTATCATGAATTTTTCTCAAGAAGAAATCGACTTGCCTGAACACGTCAAGACCAAGAAATTCTTCTAACCAGAGCCAGGCTTCACCAGTATATGGCGTCATCGCCCCACTCTAAGAAGTCACTTGAGAAGAAGCAGGTGAGGGTGTTGTATTAAACAGGATATGTATTCTAGGATTTTTCTCCTAAACGGAGCCAGGGTTTGAAACCGTTAGCGGCTCACCAATACCCGAGTACCCCCCCCCCCCCCCCCCCGCCCCTCTTTGGTGTGAAAAAATAAGTAAAAAAAAAAAAAAAAAAAAAAAAAACAACCAGGGGGTGAATCAAAAAAAAAAGGCTGAAAGAACCACACTACAACCAAGCAAACCCTCCACACCACTGACCAGCGCCCCACTCTAAGAAGTCACGTGAGAAGAAGCGGGTGGGGGTGTTTTATTAAACAGGATATGTATTCTAGGATTTTTCCCCTAAACGGGGCCAGGGTTTTAAACCGTTAGCGGCTCACCAATACCCGAGTCCCCCCCCCCCCCCTGGCGAGGTTTATTTGAGTAGAAAATAGTAGTAAAAAAATAATCATCAATAAAGCTACACGGCTGGGAGTTACTATAAAGTTCTCGCTAACTGGTGCTGACACCTTCTCCAGTCGAGGCAATCCCTTTCTTCATCAAGCGTCCGTGAGGCAATGCGAACAGGAGATACCTCTCTTCCAACGACAGTGTACTGATGCGCAGATCGTAAGATCTCCTTTCAATCGGCTCCTGACAGATGCCTGGACATTATGTAATGTTGCCCTGGGACTAGCCTGCAGTCCAGGCGTATTTTGGGTGGGCGAAAGCTTGTTCATGTTCGTGTTGTTATTGCCGCCATCTTTGATTTTATGACGGAGGAAGGTTGGGGAGAGTAGAAATAGTAACCAGGCGCTTTCGCGAGCAAAAACATTCACGCGCCCAAAGAAAACGCATGCACTGCAGGCTACCCTGGGAAAAGGATGGAAACCCTTTAGTGATCTCACTGGTGTAGAGTGCGATGCCTTGGGTCAACAAGTGCCCCGTCAAACTTTTGAAGATCACTCTACCATTATCAACTTCCTCGAACAGTTACTCCGTGGCAGCAGGGTTGTTTGTGATAGTGGTTTTCGGCACAGTCAGCCCAACCTACTGCGCGAGACGCAGGTGATGAGGCTTGGAGCTCAACAGGTCAACAATGGACAATGGATTCATCCACCGCGCGTGGGGCGTATAGAAAAGCCGGAATCCGGAACCGGAATCGGAACCGGAATCGGAGCCGGAAACGGAACCGGAACCCGAACCGGAACCCGAACCTAAGATATAAAAATTGGAGACGTTTCTGTCTTGAGAATGTCACTAAAAATAATTGCTCGATCAAGACTTTTCATCCCACATTATATTTATTTATTGTTATTATATTTTTTACTGTCGCATTTTTTGCGTACGACGCAAAATTTTTCTTCGAGAATTTCATATACGCGTGAGTGTTGCAACTTGGGATCATGATTGACATGAGAACTCCTCCTCCCTTTGCCGCCTTTCCCTCACAATGGATGAAACACGGGGCCCTTTTAAGAAAAGGTACGAGTAAGAATATAAAAGTTTTCATTCTTTTCCGTTTTACTGAGTTTGAAAAAATGTTACCATTTACAAAAACATATCTGTTTACAGATCGCGACAAAGCGACGAATCGATTGAAATGTGAGTATGTGTGAAAATGTGAAGTTGTTGTGCCTTGAATTTATGCTCGAGAATGCGGCGGAACAGCATGGGCTGATTCTTTAAATTTTAGTGGTTATGTTATTTTTTTTTTTTTTTGCAAGTCATTTTCCGAATGTGAGTATATCTTTGGTATCACGATCTCTGTGCTGAAAATTTCTCAAAACAATGATAACAGAGGACGCCATCTTGAATTTTATTTCCACACAGGGTATCGGGAACTGGTTTCAGTGTTTTCCAGTTTACCCCGTTCTCAATTTAAGTTCCGGTTCCGGTTCCGGTTCCGGTTCCGGTTCCGTTTCCGTTTCCGGCTCTGGTTCCGGATTCCGGATTCCGGCTTTTCCACACGTCCCCGCGCGTGGGAAAGATAACACGCTAGCGGGCGAATCATCGATTTCCACTCATTTAAGGAGAAGACATTTTGCAATAACACCTGATTAAAAAAAATAAACGTTCAGCCAACTTTCAGTTTTTGCCGGGATAAAGCAACAAGCACTTCATCATTAAGCCGCTATTTCTCACTGATCTTCCCTATCCTGAATTTGGATCCGTTTACGTAACTGGCAGTACATTAATAAATCAGCCATTAGAATTTGGAAGAAAGGTATCATTAAAGTCATAGTTTATCATCTGTTATTGATATTTATCAGATAAATGTGAACGTTTATGCAATATTTATAACTAGCGGTTAGGTTTTGATCAGATTATTACAGATTTCCTATAAAAATGGCACTGGAAAATGCAATTTTAAGGTTGTCCTGGGGTTGTCCCCACTGTAGGGTTTTTGTATGAGCCGCCCGGCCCCACCGTGACGCATATCCAGCTTTTCCACCAAAAAATAAAAATGACAACTGCCCATCCAACAAATGTCCGGGGAGATGGGCACGCTTGGAATTGACTGAGCCATTAAGTTCACTTATATATGTAAACAAGAGGGCTCTTGATAAATTGTAAAGTAGCGATAATCATGATGAAGCACAAATTACACAGTCTATATTGAGTTTATCTAAGGTTCGATAAAGAAATTCAATTATAACACATGGGAAGGTAAGTGCGCTTTGATCATTTTAATTTTCTGAAGTAAAGCAACAATTATCTTTACTCACAGTCATTGGTAGGGGTCTACGCGTTAAATTGATCGATCACCTTCACAACGTCCCGTCGCGTCCCGTACCGTCCACACCACCACTCCATGAAGTTTATCCTACTGGCAAGTGAGTCCTGGGGAAAGGGATTGTTTATAAAGTTCTAACAGCGGAGCATTTCTTGACTTCCTTTACAATGGGAGTCTTAAAAAGTTAATTCTTGTATCGGTTCAGACTTGATTCTAGGCTACCGATGATTGTAAAAATGAAAAAGCGACAACAAAACCCGTCATCGTATTTTCACGAAATAAGTAATGGCGGCAATATTGATGGCAAGGCGTTCTTTGATCAGTCTTATTTTGTTTGGGTAGGGCCTTAGCTTCTCTACCATTTGGTGGCTAAATTTTTCGGTGTGGTCGGTAGACATCTGGCAAAATGAAGAGAAATACAGACATCTCTGATTACGTTTTTTGAAATTTAAGGTTGATAGATATAACTGAGTTAGTGAGATCTAATAAAGGGGCAATGTCATGCTATCTACAAAAACACTAAAATAATGCCTACAGTTTGTTATTAAGACAATATTTAGGTATTGAAAATGTTCCCGGGCGTCTCTGTCGCCAAGGATGGCAAAAATGGAGATTGATTGAAAGTTGAAAAATCTGGGCCAATTTTTTCAAGTTTTAATTCTATGCTTGCAAAACAATCGCCAAACAAATTACTATAGTTAGTACCCTCTTTTTCATAACCCCACAGGAGCATTCACTAATTATAAGTAGTTTCTTCAGCACAGAACTGACTTAAAACAGCGATAACCTCGTGACATTGCCCCTTCAAAGCGGAGAAACAGACGACAATCAGTGTATAACAATATCGGTCATGAATTCCCTTGAGGATGGTAATGAGACGTTTTCTGGAGATAAAAAAAAAAATGTTAGTCAGATCTGATCATCGATCTCATGCGTAAACCGCTTTGTTACGAATAAAAGGTACTAGAGAAAAAAAAGCCGGGAAATGAAAGAGAAAAGTGCTTTTCATACAGAATGGAACATCAAAATTATCTAAGAAAATCGTTAGCGAAAAAAATATATATTAAGCTACTCATTTAAACTGTACGCTTATTCTAGTTCCATTCACGTCTTGTTGTTTCACGTTTTGTGATTGTACGTAACTTAAAGTTTAGCCCCATTCATTGTTTAGGTCTCAAGTTCCTCTAAACCCAGTAGAAATCGCGCGACGTGCAAGGACACTTTAATGCCAACAAATTCTTCCAGCCAAAGCCACGCTCCTCCCATGTTACACTCCAGGAATATGATGTCATCGCCGCGCTCTAAGAAGTCGTAAGCGCCATAATTTATCCCTGCTTTTTCTTGGAACTTTAGCAAGCGCTGCCTAAGTACGTCAGATATCTGTTAGGAAGGATCAGAATTAAAATTGGCCGTTAGTGATTTGCAAAGTGTAACAAAGTTTAATAGTGGCTCGTCCAAGGGCTCCCTTGGCATGGGCATGCGTGGTGTCTTATGAAGTATGCCCTTACCTCGCTGCTCGCGGTCATTACTTTCCATGGTGACCCGACGGCTTCTTTTTTGGCCCTTCATTCGCGCCTGGTTACCAGGGAATCAAGGATTTTTAATTCTGATTCGAGGGAATCAGAATGAGCAATCCCCATTAGTGATTTTTAAGCTGTAACAATCCAGCTTGATAACGATCGTCCCCAGGCTCCCTTTTCCTTAGTTACGCGGGGTTCGTGGTGTTTTAGGACGTTTGCGCGCACTGTACTCGCTGCTCGATCTAAATCCTTCCCATGACTCCACAATGATTCCTTCTTTTTCGAGCGGCAATAGCTCTTAGGGACGAGGCACAACCTCGTCCCCAGGGTCTTCTCGCTTTCCAATATGGCCGCGGCGTATTGGAAAGCTAGAAGTACCTGGGGACGAGGTTGGGACGAGGCAGAGCTTGTTAAATGCTTAGACCTAGAGGAAGGACTCAATTTTAAGCAGTAATAGGCCCTTTACAGCTGATCACTCACGTGGTACAAAGTCGCCACGCTGGAGAGCAAGGGACGTACCGTGACAAGACAAATAAAGGAAATTTCTATTTAAATAATGTAAACCTTTTATTTGTCATTTACCAATGTGTTCCCTGCTCTCTATCATGGCGGTTCTGTACCACGTGAATGACTAGTTACAAACGGCCTTTCATGCACCTGTGCTTCGCTGTAAAGCTCTTTCTTATCTTGCCTTCTTCTCCAATCCAAGCGATCTTCATGTTCATCGAGTGTTTGCGAGGCAATACGAACAGCAAAGACTTTGTTTCCGACAACAGTGATGCGTAGATCGGATCTCCGTTCCACCAGCTCTTGATAAATGCTCGGGCAATGGGTGATACCGTCCTGTGACACCGATGGAAACTCTTTAGTGATCTCAGTTGTGAAAAGTCCAATATCTGGCGGCACAAAAAGTCCTGTCAAACTCTTAAACACCACGCGTCCGTTTTCCACTCTGCTAAAGAGCTTCTCTACAGCAGGAGGGTTATTTGTGATAGTGGTCTTCGGCACAGTCAGCCCAACCTGCTGCGCAAGTCGTAACTGAGAAGGCTTGCAGTTCAGGAGATCCACTTGCGGTGTCAGTGGGTTAATCCATCGCGCGTGGGAAAGATACATCGACAATGAACGAAGCACCGACATCCACTCTTTGGAGACAAAATTTGCAATGATCACACCTGAAGATAAACAAAAGTCCCACCTTTTAGCCATTGATTGCACTTCCGTGGGAGTGCTACTTATTTGTCGCTTTCCCAACATTTTCCGTTTATTATTGTACGTATAAAGATGTCAAAGTTCAACGCTCAGCATAATCTTGCAGCTATCTCTAACTCGCTCAAAGCCATCTCTTCCGTAGACTACGAGTAGTGCCCATTTTTCCTCAGGGATACTAGAGCGAGCGAAACGCGCGTGCGCTTGAAAATCAACCCATTTGAGAAAGGCGATTTTTCTCTCTCACCGCCGCGTCTCGCCTGTCTCGAGGATCGAGTGGGATGATTTTCACGCGCGCTCGCGTTTTGCTCGCTCTAATATCCCTTAGGAAAAATGGGGACTACTCCTACTCTTCCGTCTCTATTATATTAACGAGGGAAGCGCGGGGGAGGGGGGAGTGGGAAGGAAGAAGAAAGGGAGCCATTTTGCCGCTCTTTCCTTCTGGCCGTCCCCTTCGTCGAGATGCCGTGTTACTTTCCCTCGGCCGATCCGCGACCGTGTAGAAATCATAAGAGAGTCAGATACTGATCCAAGGTCCGAGGAACGTTTCTTGAGACTTCTCATTCTGCATTTTACACTCAGTCTTCATTTTACCTCTGGTCCGCAGTCTGCAGTCTGCAGTCCGCAGACCGCGTTTTACACTGACCGACTGAACAACATTTCTTGAAAGTATCGACTCCTACAAATAACAAGAGATTCGGCCACTTTCCCCTTTCTCCGCGATGCTGAGGAGGATTTGCATTGTGAGTATCGATTTTCATCGATTGGTGAAACCAATCGATACTAATCGATTGATTTTTATAGATTATATTAATTATATTGATTGGTTTCCGATGACCGATTTTCATTGATTGGGCACGCCGGGGTATGAACCCACCCCTGAAAATGACCACAATAGGCAAATTCTCTTACCCAGCTCTGTAGAAAATGTATGGAGCGCAGTGCAGAGAATGTGCAAAGCAATATTAGTATCGAGGAGTACTCTACACCACCACAAATCATTTTGCGACGCAAAGTAAAACTTACCTATTACTACTTATAACAACTACCAGGGGCACCCACCGGCCGAATGTTTCCAAATACGCCAAAAGTGTCTCAAATGGTTTTCTACTGGCTTTAGAAGCCTGTTTAGTTAATTTGGGGTTGCTCTGAAAGTCTTAAGTGCTTTTTCGTCCGGGTCCGAAAGTGTCAGCTACCCTTCGGGATGGATCCGGTAGAAAGTTTGAGGACATGAAGTCATAGGCGTACGGGAAATTTTTTGCCAGGGGGGGCGGTAAACCATTTGCCCCCAAAAATCTCGCAAGTTGCCCAAATTTTTACGAAAGAGTCGAAAAGAAATGAGGGCCATATTGCAACAACATAGGCCGTAGTTTTTCAGGGTCAATACCAAGTCTGAGCATAAACTACGTCGCCATAAACAAACATTTGGAAAAATTGCGACCACAGTTGTATTAAGATGAAAATTTGTCATCATCAGGGTTGCAATGACATCGGAGTTGTCATAGCAACGAAATGACTCCATTACCTATTTTACTTCAGCAATGATTCTCGGCAAGGGAACCTTACAAAATCGTTCACAGGAGCTTTTTTCTCTAATACGGTCGCCTCGATGTTCGTGAAGTTTAAGCAAACCTTAAGAGCGTTATCGAGATATTTTGGAATGAAGTTTTTATTATTAGAAATACGGTAAGAAAAGGAAAATCTTGATTTTTGGCCGTTATCTGTAGAGAACGGAGCGCTTTTGACCTGCAATTTCACCTCATAGTGGTCTTAATCTTTTTAAAAACATGTGTGAAAGATCGTGGAGATAGCTCTACTTGATTGCTAGAATCGAAAGAAGGATTTGATTAGTATGTATCGAGACACTCTTGTTAGCGGTTTTGTAAACATTTCGGTCTACTTTAACAAATTAGCGAATAATTTTAAACCGCTCGATAGATTTTTTACAAGAATTAAGATTCTTCTCGTAATTCAGACTGAGAATTAGTCAGCCACTTTTTCATTTTCATACCCATTGTAGCCTACGTAGCAAGCGTTTCCAAACGAACTCGCGCGGAAACGCTTGCTATGCAGGCCATACCCATTGCTAAATGCTATCTGCCATACACTGTTCTTCGAATTGAGATGATTCTAGAAAGTTATGCGAAAGGTTATTTTAATCAATTCACGACTGGAAATAGCCCATTCCAGCTAGTGCAGTATAGTATAGTGCCCAACAAAAAATGCTGCAAATATGTAAAATTACTCATCACATGCTAGGCATCCACTGTAATGTAACTGGATTATTACGCCGACTTCAGGTTAATATTCAGGCCCGGGTTGCTCGAAGCATGGTTAGTGCTAACCGGCGTTAAATACCATGGAAACCTATACATTTTGATACCTCTTAACCAACGGTTAGCGCTAACCAGGCTTCGAGCAACCGGCCCCAGGTCTTTAAAATAATTAAATAAACATGGAGACGTCTTTATTAACCGGCTTTGCCCAAATTTTCTCTCGCTGCCCAAAAAATCTGAGTTGCCCAAAATTTGGGGGGGGCTGCAGCCCCCCTCGCCCCCCCGGGCCTGTACGCCTATGCATGAAGTAGCCTAGCCTCCCCGCAGACGTTCTTAGGTGGAACGCGTGACGCACGCCTAAGAATGTCTGCTGGGGTCGCTAGAAGTAGCCTTGCTTTCATCAGTTTCATTAGAAAATTATATCTTTATAACGAAATTTTTAGGAGACCTTTTTTGACAATAATCGGATACCTTGGTATTAAAATGTGAACATAACACAACCTCCGAAAATCGCAGTTAAGCTATTAGAAAAACCTCCCAACATTTAAGACAAATGGAGCGGTTATCCAGAAATTTTTAGCTTTTCTCAAGCTTTAGAAATTTCTAGGCAATATGTGCTCCTTCAAACAGTTATTTTACAGAAGCAAATCGCTGGGTGCCCCTTAACTACGCACATAAAAAGTAAAAAAACAAAACAAAAGAATAAAACGCCTTGAAAATTTTTAAAAATTACTATATATAAAAGATCTACCTTGTAGGTCTTCATCACCCTTTAGAATTACAGGTTTCATGCGATACCAGACAGATGTGATTGATTGAGCGGGAATTCGATCGCCATCCACGACGATAACGCAGCTCGGACTAAGCTCCGAATCTTTTCCTGCGGTGATTTCAATGTAATGACCTCTAGAATAAGGATTAAGGCAAACAAATTTTGCCTCATTATCGAGTAATTTTACTTGTTCTAAAACGGCCTGGATGTGTGGATCCAAATCATCGTCGAGACTTCTAATACATAAAATTGTTTTTGCCATAACTACCCAATTACCAAAAGATGAATAACACAATACCTCTTGGTGGATGTAAATCTTAGCTTTGAACATCACAAGACATTCACGCTCCTATGATCTCGGCTCAAAACTGCGCACGATGGAAACACATGAAATATCACCTGCCGGCCATGGCCGTTAGCATGATTGTGTCTCACATCACGCAGCCGTTTTTGTCTCGTCACGCAACGCTCTTCCTCTTGGAAGAAGCGTCCCCGGGGGTAATCAAAAAAGTTTAATCGGGGGAGGCTTCGCTCCGAGTTCCAACCTCTTAACCTTTTCTATACCATTTTTGACGAAAACAAAAAAGTATCCCCTTCACATACCTAGTTTAGAAGTCTCTCAACTGCTGTAAATGCACTGTCCATAAATTGTGAATAAATCACTAAATCAGAACGTTTCCTCGACTTTTTCAAACAGCCTTAAAATGCATCTTAGCTTTTTTGAGCCTTTTTACCGACCGAAATTGCAGATCTCCCTACCGTTTCACGTACTTCAACAAGTGAAATCCTTACCTTTCATATACCCATTTCCTATTTGGTTTGAATTGGGCCTATGTTCCTCTACCATTTGGTAGCTAAATCCTTTTCGGTATAATAGACACATCTGCTCGGGGGGTACTCAACAAATGTTTATACGGGGAGGCTCCGCCCCGAGGTCCAACCCCTTCCCCTTTTATATACCACTTTTCACACGAAAAATGAACCCCTTTCGTATACCTTCTATTGACAAATGGTACCCAGTTCACATACCTTGTTTAGAACTTTGCATTCCTTTTAACTGCTTCAAATGAACTGTCTTTTAAATAAGAATAAATCACTAAAATAAAAGGTTTTCTCGACTTTCTAAAGCCATAAAGTTCATCTGTTAGCCCTTGTAGGCCCTTTCACGGACCCAAATGACAGATTGCCCCACCCATTTATATACTTGAACTAGTGAAACCCCTTAACCCCTACCCTTTTAGAGCGGTTTTCATTTGAGTGTCGAAAAGTAATTGGTTTTGCACTTTCTACACGATGCGATTGGCTTAAAAGATTCGCGCCACCTTTTCATCCAATCAGAAGTAAAACCAAAGCCAGTTGTGACGCGCTCATTTGCGTCAGCCACATGTAATTACTTCGAGTTTTGATTGGTTCAATGTATTGTCTGTGTCCTATGTGATTGGCCAGAGTAATTACTTTGGTTTTGGTTTTACGACACTCAAACGAAAACCACTCTATATAGGTGGTTTTCAAGCAATCTCGGGAGACACAAATAACAATGGTGAAATGAACAAATGCTGGTGGACAAACAAAGCGAGCTAATGAGCGATCTTTTTTTACCGTCCACCAGCATGGCGGCGATGACGTAACGTGAAAACCACCTATATCTAAAGCCTGAAAAAGATACCCCTTTCGGGCGGAGCCTCCCCCTATAGGCCATCATAGGGAGTACCCCCTGGGCATACATGGCAAAAGGAAGAGAACTGATGGACAATATAGGTACATGTATATAAATAGAACTGGTTAAAGAGGAGAGAGAAATAGACCACGGTGTGTAACAGTGTAAGTTATATTCCCTTGAGAGTGGTACTGAGACGTTTTCGGCGATAATCAATTGTCAGTCAAATTTCATCGATCTCCTGAGTAAACTCCTTATTAAGAATCAGAGGTAACAGAAAACAAAATACGAAATTGAAACAGAAAAGTGCCTCTTACACTAAATGGAACATCAAAATTATCTAAGAGGATCGCAAACGAAAGAAAAAAACAATAACATCAACAAAATCAGCTATTCATTTTATCTCTCATTTATTCAAGTTCCATTCTCGCCTTGTTTCACGTTTTTTAGTTGCAGGTAACTTAGAATTTAGCCCCAATCATTGTTTAGGTCTCAGGTTCTTATATAGGGGGTGTTTACATGAGAAAACTCGCACCGGCGTGAGTTTCATACCGGGATGACTTTTTTATTTCCTACCGCTTTTACATCATGACTGGGTCTACTTGAAAGTACGCTTCATGTTGATAAAATACACGTTAAGACTCAAAATCACAAACATAACGCATGCGCTACCCGCTCCAGTCTACCGGCAGACCGATTTCATGATACCTTTAAGGGATTTCGTACCGGAGTGAAATTCTCGCCCCGGTACAACTACGGGGTGAACTCACGCCGGGGTGACTCGCGCCGGCATGACATTTTGTGGTGGTATCATATAAACAAATGTAGAGCCATGTGAGGGAACCGGAGTGAACTCACTCCAGCGCGAAAGTCGCCCCGGTGTCATGTAAACAGCCACTCATATGGGGTAACGCAATCTCGTTCTCAGAGTCCGCGTTACCCTTGTCTAGCGAAACGGACAACGCTGGACAAGGGTAACGCGGCCTCTGGGAAACAGATATCTCGACTCTTTCAAATTAATTCAACGTTACAAAACGTTCCAGGACAAGAGATAGCAAAAGACGTACAAACAAAGCGCTACTAGTTGTCTGATTAACTGGTTCCGAGGAAGTAAATATTGCAAGCGTTGCTTTGGTTTGTTTCTAGTAACGTTACGTTCTAATTTATAACGTGGAATATTGTTCCATTTTCACTTGATATCCCTTGCATGTGCACAGCGCAGTAAACATCTTTTTTTCTTAGGGTGCGTTCGATTGGGAAATCTGGATTTAGATTTCAAAACCGGATTTCGGATTTGCAATCGAAAGCGAAATCCGAAAACGGATTTCGACGCTCAGATATCTGTTTTTACAGTTTCATTTTTGACGTTCGATTTGGAAATCCGAAAAATTATTTGAAAAACTGTCTTTATGAACAGCGGTCTCGCACGCGCACGCATTATCAGCAAAAAAAAGACCACTGTTCACGAGAATAGTCTTGCAAATCCTTTTCCCAATCGAACGGTAAAAAGGAGATCCACGAAATCTGGATTTGGATTTCTTAATTGAAATCCACCCTGAAGACGGATTTTCCCTAGGTGAAATCCGTTTTCGGATTCGCGTTCTATTCCAAAATCCGAAATCCGGATCTCCCAATCGAACGAGACCTTATATTTCAAGTAATTTTTTCCGAACTCCCTTGAAGGTACAATCAAGCGCGGACGGACACTGAGGGGCCATAAAAAGTGTACTTATTAACGGGGTGTCCATATTAAGCGGGCTGAATTTAGAAAAAGATGTAAGGGCTTGACAAAGTAATTAAGGTGTGCGTAATAAAGAGATGTCCGTAAAGCGGGGTTTGACTGTGTGTAGCCTGTTCCAGGGTCCCAGATAGTAGGGATGACGCCTAAGTGTAAGGCACGGGGAAATAATAGCGCGTGATTCGTTTGGGAAAAGGGTCAGGGTTCCTGTTTTATTTTCGTGTTCGCTCTTTCTCAATTTTCGCGGACCCAGCTATCTCGGAGCCTGGAACAGGCTAGACTGTACGTTGTTATCATGAGTCGGCTGTTCAAGCAGATCAAAGGAGGCGCCGTGGGTGGAAAGTCCTTATGGAAATTCAATGACAGCTTTCTGTTTGCAGAAAACTAGGCAAAAAAAATATTTTTGCCGCTTTTTGAAGAGGTCGAATTCTGGGTTTAAGTACTTTTTAAAACGTCGTTAATACACTGTCACTGACACTGTAGAACAAAGCTTGAGGTATTCAAGTATGGTCATTAGTTAGTCTTTTGGCTATAAACAACTGGGATAAGATATTACTTAAAATGATTTTAATAAATTTTGATAAATTAAAAAAACTTTAAAGCATGCATGTTTACGTTTCGTTTGGTCTTTTCCTGAGAAAAATGAAGAATAATTCTAAGGTTCGTACGCTTAAGCCTCTTCGGTGTCACTGAATATATTTCTGATATTTCTAAAAATGTCTTCGGTTTCGTCTTACGAGGACGCAAAAAAATTGCTAACCTTCTTGAAAAACGAAAGGAGAGTCTGTTTTAATCTAATTTCTTTTTAAGTAGAGCGCCACTATGTAAATATTTTCTCAATTTAAATGGAAAAATCATGCTATAACATTCCGGGGTTGCACATGAACCTCGCCCACGTCTGATAAAGGAGTAAGCAAACCTGAAATTTGCAGAAAACCAACTGCAAAAAATTGTCATTACCCTTATAGACGCGTCAAAACCAGCACAAACTGGAAGGGCACATTTGACATATTGGAAATTGTAGGCTAGGGAGTGAGCCATAGACAAAATGAGGTGTGAATATGTCACTCGAATAACTTCAATAGTGTTAATTATCATCTGTCTGGTGAATGAAATGGTTTCCGAGCCAAGATTTAGTTGGGCTGCTAGACGTCGTCGTCGAAGGTATTGTAAGCCAGTGGACTGCATCCCTGGAGACTGGAGCCCATGGAGTGACTGTTCTCACACTTGTGGCCCTAACGGTCATTCCACTACAAGAAGAAAGATCATCAAACCTGCTCAATGTGGAGGCAAATGCCTAGTGACCACTGTCGGTGCTAGGGCGTGCAATCGCTTTTGCTTGAATGGTGGAACGCTTATACGTTCGTCGTGTCACTGCAAGAATGGCTACAAGGGAGAATGCTGCGGTGAAATGGGTGAGTTAAAAAAGTTTAAAAACCTGTTTCGTGAACAGGTTTTTGAACAGTCAGTCGCTGCATAGCGTAGCTCGTTTGCATTATATTTGCATCGTCACAAAACTGTAATCAGTGGCCTGAGAAGACTAAGAATAGAAAAATCCTGTATATTGCAATAAATAACGCTGCTGAATATTTCAGCTTTTTTTAGGATTGTCTGAAAGGTATGGACTCCAAAGTCAACTCGGCATCGCAATGTACGATAAAAACAAATGGATGAAAAAGCACTAGGTTGTAGCTTGGGAGGGGGCAGTTGCCATGAAGATATGAATTCTTACATGAAAACTTGACTAACTTTGTTTATTTAGGTATAGCCGGACAACTAATCATAATATGATCTCTTGGTTGTCTCTCTTGATTGTCAAATAATGTTAGGGAATGAATATGGGGAAAATATACTGAGGTTCACTGATAATAACAAGTGAGAAGAAAGCAAAACTTTGATCGCATCATGAGTATGCTATGCGTGCTGGAATTTTCACCTTTAACGGCGTTTTAGGTCCCCACTTTTTTCAAAGGTAACTTAAACGCTTCGCTGTAAACCAGAAAGATCTGCTTTAGCCCTGAAAATGGAGTCGTATAGGTGAGTAAAATACAGTCCTATTTTTGGGTCAGAGCCACTGAATACAGTCTTATTAGCTAAGGCTGATATGGAACCAATGGCTGACTGAAATGAGTCCCAGCGTGGGCTGAAATGAGCTCAGTTTTGATAGGGCTGTTTTTGGCTTACGTTGTGCTTAAATGGCTCCAGGAGAGGTAAATAGGTCTTTAGCCTAACCAAAGAAAGTTCATGAATAACTTCGCAAAGAACAGGAACTGTTTACAACAATAACACTGTTATTTACTGTAGAAAGCGGAACATGGACCAGTTGGGGAGCATGGTGCGCTTGTTCCAAGACCTGCGGCAGAGGGACACAATACCGTAAGCGCTCCTGCACCAAGCCCGGTGGTTACGGTTGTCTGGGGAACTCTGAAGAATACAGATCATGTATGATGAAATCATGCAACTTAGGTAAGAGTTTGATTTCAGTGTTTAACTGGTAATTTCATCGCTCTTTAATCTCAAGAATGTAATGAACGAGGCTACTGCAAGTGCCAGAGGCTTTCTCTCATCTTTCGAAGCAGCCAATCATTTACAAAAGAGTCCATTTTCTTTCCCTAACAAATTTGAAATTTGCATGTGCTGTCGAAGAGGCCAAAGGGCTAATCATGATTCTCCGGCCACCAACGAGAAAGTTAGTAGATGGGAAAATAGCCGTAGTGAAACGGTTTTATAAGATTTCGGAATCTCTGTGGCCCAGCATTCTTTCCGCAAGCCCATACCAGGTTCAATCAGGGGATCGTGCAACCAAGTCGTAGATTGTGCCGGGAGGCTTTAAACGCTTCGTTCTCGCAAGAAGGGAGGGTAGGTGGGCTGGCAATCGTTTTATGCCCCGGACTAGAGCGGAGTAGAGAGCACCTTTTATCAAGAGAGAATGAGGTGTAATTCTCTTTTCCCTTTTGTACAACTATTTGCATTATCACATTATCCACTGCGAAAACGTCCGTAAAATTTGGCGATTTGTCAAGAAATTGCTAAGCTACATCTTCGCTCGTTTTTAATAAAACGTATCACTTTCAAACTTGGCAAGTTTACTTAGTTTTAGGTTTTTATTCCGGGTCGTCAGTGTATTTTTGCTAACGGGTCCGAGACCAAAGTTGGCGGGAAAAATCGTGCAGGAGCCTATTCAAATAGCTGGCCTGCGAAGATATAATATTCTTTACCAAAAACTTTCAAAACTGCAGCAACAACTCAGCTGACATTGCATAGCTGTTAGTATCCCTGTTCACGTGACTCTTCCCCTCTGATCACATCACCAGATGGAGGCTGGTCAGCCTGGTCACCCTGGGGACAATGCACAGGTTCGTGTGGCTCGGGACTACAGACCCGTAAGAGATCCTGTACAAACCCGCCTCCAGGCTACGGCGGGAAAAAATGTTCAGGACCCGCAGAGCAGCATAAAAACTGTTTTTTGCAACGGTGTCCAGGTGATGTATCAATTATTACCTGTTAGCTTCTGACATAAGAAAGATTAAAATATTCAATACTGTAGTAGAAAGACTTTTCCCGCAGGCCATGACGTGCACTGATATCATTGTTCACAAATTAAATGTCCTGCCATGACGCTTTCGATGGTGGTCAGTTTAGGTTTTTGTAAATTAAAGTAAACTAAAGTAAAAAATGCACTTTCTTTGAGTTATAATGTTTTTAGCACAAACGTTTTAAATAATTACGAACAATCGGTTATAAGTTTTTCTACTTGAGACAGGACCGCCATTTTACGTGGTCATCCGAGCCACGCAAAGATCTAGCCGTTTTCATGAGGGCAAAGGCAATACCTTAATTAATTTCTCAGTTATTTTAAGACCCTGAGTAAGAGTCCGGCTCCGGGATCGAGCCCAGGCCCTCCCGTTCTGCAGTCAAGCGCTCTACCAACTGAGCTATATAGTCCAGCCGCGATTAATAGAGTGTACCTTGGACTTGATTGATTAACGTGTGCACGCCTCAAACCGGTTTTTGAGTGTGTCGTTATCGGGGTGTAGAACACAGAGGCAAATCTTTCCTTTTTGCGTTAGTGAATGGCGGATGGTCAAGCTGGAGTTCCTGGGCTTCCTGTTCCAAGAGTTGTGGGTACGGATATCAATACAAAAGAAGATACTGCAACAATCCATCCCCGGGGTATGGAGGAAAGCCCTGTGTTGGACCCAGCACAAAAACACGAGGATGTTCTGTAAAACGCCAATGCCCAGGTTTGGTGAATTTAATTTTACAACATTCTACATAAGAAGTGTGTCAACTCTTATTTGAGTTCAAACTCATTGAAAGAGCGATTTTTCTTAACTTGACTTAAAATGATTATGCAGGAACAAATTGAATTAAAGCAACAAACGAACAAATGTAAGAATGATATTGGTTTCACGCAGAGGAATGTGTTTGGCGTCAGTACGTGGGGGCATCAAAGTTTAGAAATGCGGGAGCGTGAATGGCTTTTAGCGTATCGATCATCAGCTGTGAGAAAGTTAAGTGTATACAATAAGTGTGAACTACGACAACGTGAAAAACGAGAAGGCGAAGTGCTAGGACATCATATGTAATCAATAATGACTGGATCCAATGGAGCGTTCTTAGTGATAGATAGCTAAAAGTGAAAAGAGTAACATGGAGAGTGATTGTTCTGTTCAATTATAGTTACTGCATTTTATTTATTTTTCAACCTCGGATAAGGCATCTCTAGCCTCATCATGATCATTGGCTCACTGTATATCGATTTTCATCCATTATTCCTAAGTATGACCTTAAATGGAAAAGGGGTGCGACAACAACAACGACGATGTTGGAACACCCAACAGCTTGAAATCCTACGGAATTACAGATGACGTTTTGTAAGATCAAATGAAATTGGGTAAAGTTTAGTTAATTTAATTTCCATTTTCCCTGTTGGATACAAGATTGGGGGCTTATGCAACGCAGGCTCATGGAATAACTGTTCAAAATATTTCGCACTTATTTAGTGGATGGTGGATGGTCAGGTTGGCATTCTTGGAGCAAATGCTCGAGGACTTGCGGACAAGGGCACCAGTTCAGCCACAGATACTGCAACAATCCAACTCCGAAATATGGAGGCAAGCACTGTGTTGGATCAAACAAGAAGACACGATCGTGTTCCATTAAATCGTGTGCAGGTATTGAGTCTCTTCGAATTCACCCAGCTATACAGAATCCCTTAGCCTGTTCAGAGACCCTATATTTTCTCTTCAGAGATGGTCAAGTGCGCGGATGAAAATAAAACCTTGGGGGATTTCTTGACGACTAGGGCCAAAAACATCTGTGGACAGGCTAAGAACACACTAAGAATCCTGCGGTTGCGAAGCGCTTTGTCACTGAAGGACCTGAAAGAAAACTTCATTTGTTGTTGATAATTTTTTTTCTTTTAAAGACAACGTGTTCCAACTGTTTTTTTTTTCAACAGTCAGTTGTCAACTCTGCTTGCAACTGAGTAGGACTAAGAGAGTGTTTTTTCTTTTCGATTTCAGAAAAAAAAAACAACTTGTCGTAAGAACAGCTTTCTTAAAGTAATATGTAATGCAATGTCGCGGATGAAATAACAACCGTTTTTGTGCTCTTTATACTATATAATGAAAGTACTGCAGTTCAAAAGATGACTCGCTGTACTTGTCTTACTCCAACCTGTTCACAGACTATGATTTGTGGGGTAAAATTATGTACCAGTTAATGTAAACCGCCACACCCTCCCGGTGAGACTTAGCAGGGCATCAAACTACCGCTCACTGCTAAAGTTGGAAAATCCCCAAAATTCAAGGTTAACTGATTCTTCTAATTGGAGCTAATGACCCCGCTTAGAGCCAGAAGCTGTTATCTGGCGCTCTTGCTTCAATGCGCGGATTCTTGAGTAAGTCCACCTTGGCGGAAAATACCTCGCCTATCTTGGCTGCCATGATTTGATCAGTCTCCTTGACCTACGACCCTTTCGCAAAAAACTCCCTGCAAATTCCCCACTATGTCCGAGCCGGGAGCGGGGGTGGAAGGGTGGGGCTGCGAGAGTTTATATTGACTAGTGTTGTGACTAGTGCATCCTTGCTTGGATCACATGCAATAAGTATTGAATGAAGCATGTTGTGTAACTTATGTATTTCGTTACAGTGAATGGTGGCTGGAGTTCATGGGGTAACTGGTGCGCATGCTCTAAAACGTGTGGTACTGGATCACAGTACCGCACACGATCCTGTACTAAGCCCCCTCCATCATATGGAGGAAAACCATGCGAGGGACAAGCTAAACAGACAAGAGCCTGTAACCAGAAGCTTTGTCCTGGTATGTGTTATGGTTTGTAACCTTCGAAACAACAACACTGGAGTTAAAACTTATTTTCAGCTTTCATTTGGAACGCTAAAGAGAATCGTTGAGATATTTGTGTTGATTAACCAATATTCGTTTAGCGTAGGAATCACCCTCTGAAAGAAAATTTGGATAAAAAGAAAGCATTTATTATCCAAATAAAGCAGTAGAAACTCGCCCCACAGTGCTCAAGTTACTGGAAATTTTCATTTTCTTCAGTTTCCTTTTCCCCCAACCTCGTCTTCAGGGCTTTTCCCATTTTCTAAGGAAAAGTCCTTGGGGACAAGGTTAACTTCCCCCTAAATTTCCGCCTTCATTTTATTCTCTTAACATCAAATCTGTCATATGTTTTTTGTTGTTGTTCTTAGTACATGGTGGTTGGTCTAGCTGGACTCAGTGGGGTGCATGCTCTAAAACATGTGGAAATGGAAAGCAGTACAGCAGACGGTACTGTAATAATCCCGTGCCAAAATATGGAGGCAAGAGATGCTATGGGGCAGCTGTAAAGACTAGGGAGTGTAAAGTCAGACCTTGTCCAGGTAACTGGGTTAATTCTCAAAAACATTAACTCTGGACTTTTGACTTTCAAAATGGTCAATAGTCAGTGTTAGCAGACTGTTTGAACAGACCAATTATTTTGAAAAAACAAGTGCACATGTACGGATTCATCGATTCGATTGTCATGTTAACCCAACTGTTTTATCGTGTTGTTTTGTATTGTAGTTTCGAAATGTTTCGGACGGGTGGAATCACCAAATGTAATACAAAAGATTGGAAAGACGCTGAATAATATCTACACCACAGAACAAAGTGAACCAACAATATTGTCGCAGCTCCACGTCACGAAACACCTCTCAATGTCCAATAATTTTCTTTCAGTAAACGGCCGCTGGTCAAAATGGGCAGCTTGGTCCAAGTGCTCTAGGACTTGTGGGCAGGGAAAACAAACCCGAAACCGAACCTGTACCAATCCCCCGCCAAAATATGGAGGCACGTGCGTGGGTCCGGCTACTCAAACGAAGTCCTGTCTCGTAAAGAAATGCCCTGGTTTGTGGAACCTCAAGTGCTTTCTCAATTTTTCATTATTTATTAAAATCTGTTAGAAACTACAAAACTTTGAGGAAGTCAACCTGTTACTTATTGCCGCAGCAGTGGGTTGTTTAGGCCATTGTTCTTTTCACAGATCCACTGGTTGGGTAGCCTTTGCCAGGCTCTCAGTCAGTAGAGACGAGCGAAAAAAGCGGGCGAACAATGAAAAAGTGGGGGCGAGCGAAAACCGGCAGGGGGAGAGAAGGGGAGAGTCTGGAACAGGCTACGGGTTGTGTCAAGGGGGAACTGTATAGTAAGTTCTATGCGCACTTTGGAGAACAAAAAAAACAAATAAAGTTCTGATTAAATAGCTGCAGTTACTGTAGCAGTTTGTCTTTTATCAACTGAAGGTCCATTTTCACCGACGCCTGTTTTGTTTGGTCTTGTTTGTCTCGAACTAATGTTTCACGTAGTTTATGGTCTCGTTAATTTGCAGTCAACGGTGGCTGGGGTACTTGGAGTAAATGGCATGCATGCTCTAAAACGTGTGGCAACGGTACACAGTACCGCAGTCGCTTCTGCAATAAACCAAGTCCAGCACATGGAGGAAAGCAATGTTCAGGGCCAAACAAAGAGACACGAAAATGTAACACCAAGATCTGTCCAGGTAGGCTCACTTTTCGCTTTTATAAATTTATCTTACAGAGAATAAGGACATGAAAACTCTTCGGTGGCCTTCTTTTTCATTCCTACAATATTCACCAATCATTACTGTCACACTCAGAAAAGCGTGAACACCTGAAAAATTTTAGGAATGTTGATTGTGTACTGGCTAATCACAATAAAGTTCAGGATACGCAAGCGAACCTCAAACCACAAATTAATTACCGTTGCTGTTTGTGGTTTAGTTATCTCGCGCCTTATTGGCTTATTTCTCGCAACACAATAACATTCCATAAATATTTCTGGTGTTCACGGTTTTGTGAGTTTCACAGTAAATACAAAGAAAAAATCTTGAAAACATAAAAGGCGCAATCGAAATGGGCGAGAGGAGCTAAAAGGAGCAAATCAGAGCAGAGGGAACAGGAAGAAGAGAGACCCTGGGAACGAGTGGATTCGTTTCAGTATCTTCTTTTTAAATTACTTAACACGATTACGTGCGTTGTATCCTTAACTTCTGCGAGGCAATGTCTCGTTCGATAACCCACTCGGAGAATCGACCTACGCCCTACAATTTAGGCACTTATTCACTCTATATTGAGAAATAAACCGCAAAGTTATTATCAGTGCATTCTAGGACATTTTTACTGGAATGAAGCTTGCAGTTGAAAAGACTCGGCCGGTGAAAAAAATGCGACATTTCAGTTTTTATAGAAGCAAACATAAAGGAAGATAGATAATTTTGAAATCCGGGGAGTCTAGCTTCATACACTCACTTGACTCTCCAAGTGTTTCTCCCGATCAGTTTTCGCTAAAAATATTTTATCGCAACCGTTTTGCACTTACTCTTTTATGGGGAATCTTCTTAGTCAACGGTCGCTGGTCATTATGGGCAACATGGTCCGCGTGTTCTAAGACGTGTGGGACTGGAACCAAGACTCGGAAGCGATCGTGCACCAATCCCCCGCCTCAGAACGGAGGAAAGGGATGCAAAGGAATTGATAAACAAACAAAGTCCTGTTTGCTGAAGACATGTCCTAGTAAGTTCAACTCAAGTTTAAAAATAAGATTACTCTTTTACTTAATAACATCACAATTACGTTATTAATAACATCCTCTTTGTCGCCCGTTATTACTGACTGCATTCACTTGTTCAGTTGTTTTCACTGCGTGGCACTGAACTAACGATAACAAAACACTTTCTAAAAAGAAAACTGCTTTGTGTGTTTTTCTAACAATTGAGCGTTACGAATGATTAATTTTTTAGCGGACGGTGGTTGGAGCGCATGGGGAAAATGGTGCGCATGCTCTAAGACGTGTGGCACTGGAACACAGCACCGCAGTCGGACCTGCACGAATCCAAGGCCTGTGTATGGAGGGAGACAGTGCCTTGGAGAAAACACGGAGACCAGGAACTGTAACACAAATTCTTGCCCAGGTGCGCATGCTCTTTAACCAAAAAACGCTCACAGTACTACTGCCATGCAATATCATTGGCTAAAATAAAGGAAAATGATTTCTGTTCTTGTAACTTTTTAGTAATCAGCGGCTGTCGAAATTCCAGCCATGGCTTAAAACCGCTCATATATTGACCAATAACTGAAAACAGCATTAAGAAATATTGCCGTCCCTATCAATCTCTCACCCCCCCCCCCCCCCACACCCCAAGGGCCCGCTACCTCTCACAAAACCCTCATTTTTTCTTCAAAAAAACAATAACAAATATCATATATAGTAAGCTCTCCCCTCCACTAGCCCCCTCTTCTTCTCACCTTCTTCCTCTGTTTTTTTAACCCCCCCCCCCCCCCCCCCCCCCCCCAAAGCGAAGGGTCGCCTTACACTAAAGCTAGCTTTATTTTTCATGAAAAGCAAGTAAAATCTGATATAGCTGAACTTACCACTTCCTGCAGGCCGGCTCTTTCTTGACACTTGGGCTTCCTGTTTTTCTGATCCTTCTTAGGTTATGGCGGCTGGGGTTCCTGGGGAACATGGTCAGCATGTTCAAAAACCTGTGGAACTGGATCTCAAAGCCGGAAAAGAACTTGTTTTGGTTACAACTCTGGATATGACAAATGTCCTGGAACACATGAGGAGACGCGTGACTGTAACACTCAAATGTGCCCCGGTAAGTCACGTTTTAGTTATCTTGAACAGGGAAACAGTCATTAAAGGAAAGATGAACAAAGCAAAAGTAAAATAAAATAAATAAAACGGAGAGATTTTCAGCATGAACAAGCAAACGATCTAATGAATGAAGTAACGCACTATAAACAACAAGCTGCTGCTCCATGGCGATCTGATTAAACACGTGACTGTTTTATTTTAAACCCTTTTCAGTCAACGGCCGCTGGTCATTATGGGCAACATGGTCCGCGTGTTCTAAGACGTGTGGGACTGGAACCAAGACTCGAAAGCGATCGTGCACCAATCCCCCGCCTCAGAACGGAGGAAAGAGCTGCAAAGGGATTGATAAACAGACAAAGTCCTGTTTGCTGAAGGCATGTTCCAGTAAGTTCACCCGCCACCCCCCTCAACTCTAAGTGCCGACAATACATTTTTTGTATACACGCATAATCATAATATTACATTGCATTCCTAGGGTAGCGAAATGAACTGTAATTTGTACTAAAACTGAACTACACTGATTAGATGGGGATATGTATCACGTGCGTTTAATCATAATTATTTTAATGGGAAAGGCGAATTATAAACTTTAATTGGCCTTACGTAGCTAGTCAGACCAACCTCGTCCCCAGGGCTTTTCCCTTAAAAAATGAGTGGGGCGGGGGAAGAGGTTGTAGTCAGAAGCAATGGGACAAGTCAGGCAAGGACATGGACAACGATGTGCGCTCTTTGTTCAAGTCTTGTCCGAGAGCGTTTCTTGCGTCCCAGCATGGCGTTTTTGTACCACGTGACTCAATGGCTGCAAAGGGCCTATCGTTATTATTAGCAAGTATTTTCAAGTACGAAAATAGAGATCAAGAGGCGGAGCGGGAGGAGACGTCACTTTAATGGAGCTGAATCACGGATTTCATCCAAATTCTAAAAGTAGAAACTGTCACCAAATTGAGTGAAACAAAAATAATCGCTAAAAACATTACAACAAGGTATTAACTAGTAAAATTAAAACGGGTTAAAATCTTTTTGGGGATTATGAAACCTTGTTAGCCTTTTAATAGTTCATTTTTGTTGTTTGTAACGTTTGATATGTCGCTTGGGAAGTATAATTGTTGGTCAAGATGCTGTGATTTTATCGTTAGAGAAATTTTTTAGCGCATAAGAAAGAGAGTTGTAGTCTGCGAGCAAGCTCTCCGGGGCGCTCTGCCTGCGGGGCGGGAAAAGGAGGGAGAGCCTGCATCTACGTCTCTGGAATTTGAATATCTGCATCGAAAAAGTCGATGCGAAATGCTGATTGGCGTTGACGACATTAGTAATGAAGTCATTACCCTGGGACGTGTTTTTCAATGTTTATTTACATTCGCACTCGTTTCCGCTTCGCCCTGATTGGCGGATTCTGACAGTTAAGTCGACGGGGAGCCACAGGGGAATTGGAGGTGGAATTTAAATTCCAGGGACGCAGTTGCAAGCTCTCCTTCCTCTTCCCGCCCTGCCGCCATAGTGAACTAGACGGCCGTGACACAGCACTTTTGAGGATAAAACTAATCCATATGCATTATATTACAGTGCTTTGGTAAATCACGTTTTTTTAGTTGTATTAAACATGGTAACGGTCATAAAAATGAATAAATAAATAAAACAAGGATTTACAAAACAAAGAAAAACTGCGGAAAGATTTTGAGTATGAACGAGCAAGCGATCTAGTGAACGAAGTAAACGCTGGATAAATGTAAAGCTGCTCCGATGATCAATTGCTCCGATGATGATCTGACTAAACACGTGACTGTTTTCTTGCGAACCCTTTTCAGTCAACGGCCGCTGGTCATTATGGGCAACATGGTCCGCGTGTTCTAAGACGTGTGGGACTGGAACCAAGACTCGAAAGCGATCGTGTACCAATCCCCCGCCTCAGAACGGAGGAAAGAGCTGCAAAGGAATTCATAACCAAACGAAGTCCTGTTTGCTGAAGGCATGTCCCAGTAAGTTCCTCTCACACCCTCAACTCTGCACGCCTAGAGTAAACCTTTTGCATACACACACAATTACACAACCAGATTCCTAAGAGAAAAAGTTACCTGTTGTTCGTACTAGTGACTCTAATTAGAGGCGGAAATACATCCACCTGCGTTTTATCATATTTGAATGGAAAAGGCGCATTATAAATTTTTGTGAGGTTCATGTTTGTCTTGTCCCAGAGCGTTTCTTGCATCCCAGCCGAGCGCTTATGTACCACGTGACTGACCAGCCGCAAAGGGACTATTGCTGTTAGAGCGAATTTCGTATGACCTTGAAATATGGTTTCGGTAAGTGTTCGTTATTTGTTTTATCAGCCAATGGATGAAAAGATCAAAACATGCATGGCCTCTTCATTTTCCTGCCAAAGAAACTCCTAATATGGAGAAGGCGTTGTTCGATTGGCCAATCGTGTTGCAGTATGACGTCAAAGCAAAGTATCGATTGATTTCTAGAAAGTTGTCGGACATGAAGTTTTTTTACCCGACCGTTTGCTTAACCAGCCAAAAGACACGCGCGTTTGTGTCCGCTCGATGAACCAATCATATCGCTCTATTTCCGTTCGTTACTTGTTTCGGTTTTGTTCGCCCGTTTTCATTCCAAGGTCAAACGAAAATCGCTCTATCAGTCAGCATAGAAAAGTTTAGGAGTGGAGACCCAGGAGCGGGGAGAAGAGGTCCCTTTAAGAACAAAAATAATCCTTGAATTTGATTAAATTTTTTTGAAGTTGTTGTTAACGGCGGATGGGGAAACTGGAGCGACTGGAGCGCATGTAGTGCATCATGTGGGCCTGGGAACAGCATCAGGACCCGGCGATGCGACAGTCCTCCCCCTGGTCCCGGAGGAAACCCTTGTGTGGGACTTCGTTTGGAGAACAAGCCTTGCAATTTAAGACCATGTCTTACAGGTAAATATACAGAGCAAGACCAGCACATGTATAAATGCGAGTAAACGAAGGCGGGAATTAAAGTATGTAACCAACATCGATTGAGGTTCCTAGGTAACTGATCACCTATCCCTCCCCAAAGTCAAAATTTTACCCTAAGGGAGAAGTAAGTGTTAATGTTAACTTAGGGGAGGGGTAGGTACTCAGTTACCCAGAACCTAAACAAGAGCCGATTAGATTCGGCTCCTAAAGAAACTTATTTACGACCAAGTCTGAAAAATGAATGGAGGAGGAAGGATTGACAAAACAAAGAAAGAAACAAATTAACGGCGGACGAAAGAATAAATAAAGGTGACAGGAACTCGACAGGTAATGACTTGACGCTGCAATTATTTGGTAAGACGACAGAGATAAACAAGATAATTTTGCAAAAAATTCAATTGAAATTCCATGATAAGGTCACAATTTCCATTATTAAAAGTGTGACACCTTATTTCGTACGCTGCTGAGTTTCTTATTTCTGAAAAATACGGCCGTGCCGGCACCAAACTCGTCCAAGCAGTACAAATACATGTAGACGTTCCTACCTTTACTCTTTTAGTTGCAGTTGTTAACGGCGGATGGGGGAACTGGAGCGAGTGGAGTGCCTGTAGTACATCATGTGGGCCTGGGACTAGTATCAGAACCCGGCGATGTGATAATCCCCCTCCGAGTCCCGGAGGTAAATCTTGTGTGGGACTTCCCGTGGATAACAAGCCATGTGATCTGGGACCATGCCCAGGAGGTGAGTGAATTGCGTTACACGTCAACATTCATACGAACTATCCCATCTAACCCTACACTGGACAAAGAACAGGTCCCGGTTGCTCAACCGTTGGATAGCGCTATCCACCGGATAAATCACTTTCCAGCGGTAAGTGTTAGGCAATCCTATTGCGTTACCCAGTGGATAAACATCTGTCCAGTGGATAGTGCTATCGACCTTTTGAACTAGTGGGGCCAGTAATGTTAAGTAGCAAACAGGGCCTGAAAGAAACAAATGGCGGGTATCTCGCTTATCGCACTTATTTACAGGCAATATATTTTCCTGTGTTCGAACGATGTAACCACATGTTCAAATACAAGGGGGAAGGGGGATTTTCTATTTCGGGGATGCTCTTCGTCTCGCTTTGGGGTGTAAATTGCAGAATTGGGTCTCACTTAGGGTGTTTGGGATGGAAAGTCACTGTATTTGCCCATTCAGGTATCGCTTAGTACTGTGCATAAAGAAAGTTAAAAAAATGCCCTGACTGACCACACAGAATCTCCCTAAGGGATCAGTTTAAGCTTGAGCCACCCCGACATTGGTCTTCCTTAGGGTTTTAATTTGAATTTTCCGTCAAGCATCCCCGTCACTTTATATATATAGGAGTCCCCCACCCCCAACCGGGCGCTGAACCAACATAGCTCAAACGAGAGGATTTCGAAACCTTGTTAGCACTTGTTTCCTTTTCATTTAACTTGACCCTTTACTTTGCGCTGCATGTCCATCATTAGAAGCTCTTTTTCTCTGGTATTTCGTTACAGTCCTTTGCTCAGACTTCGCGCAATCTTGTGGTTCCGTGCTTAGCGCCCATTCATTTTAAAAGCCCCATTCAAAGGGACCAATATTACGAAAGTAGTAATTATCCAGACCACATCGACATATCGTAAAACATTTCGATTGTCATCGTGAATTCCTTTTTAATTGTGGGCGTGCAGACACAGAGTGACACCAATTCTAGTTGGCTTCTTGAGACTTTCCTGTCTTTCTAAGACCCGACATAATTAAAGGTCGACTCAACTGAAGTGTGGAGGTTAAATAAGTGTCCCAGTGATGAGTTCCTTGTGGTACTTTCTCGTTTTCCCTTCAGTATTTGTTGTTCGCTTACACTTGTCCTTGAACCTGCAGATTGCTGGAGTGACTGGAGTGACTGGAGCCAATGCACTAAGGCCTGTGGCTGTGGGAAACAATTCAGGGTCCGATTTTGCAACTGCGCGTACGGCCAAGGATATAGCCAGTGCAAGGGGCCCGGAGAGAGCTCACAAACGTGCAACTGCAATGCGTGCCCGAATGGTCCCCCTTTTTGATGACGTATTTGTAGGTATAACGAGAAAAACTCTTTGGTACTCTAGTGGTTCTATGAGTTATATTTTACCACGTTTGTTTTCTCGCGGTTTCACGTACAGCTGGTGACTGAACGTCTTACTCCCAATGTTGCAGCAGTTACTTTGTTCTGGAAATCTTGAAGTCTCAGTTGGGATTAAAAAATTTCCACCTTTTCTCTGCGTAGTGAGCAAAACAACAACTGGGCTCTCTAAAAATTTATTTACCTCAATTCTGTCTAGTTGAAAGTATTTCAATTCAAATTCTAGCGTAGCAATGTAAAACACATAAAATACGTAAACAACTACATCACTGGCCAAGCGATAATCGGACTTAAGTCACCTATTCTTGATATTTCATGTGCCAACCAGACGCGCATTGGTTCTTGAAACAAGATTCTTTCGTTTCACTCGTTACACATTTGAATAACAACCAGCCAAACATCCTCTGCAGCACTTAATTAAGTGTCCAAACAGGGTAGCTGGGTTACAAAACAAACGTTAATCAAGTACATTATTGAACCGCCTACTGGTAGCTCAATATAATGTGTACCGTTGTACACCAGACTTCTAAGCGGTGGGCCCGGGTTCCAGTCCCTCTCGGACCCACCCTCAGGGTCTTAAAACAACTGAGAAGAATGTGCTTCCTTTGTTTCAAATCCAAGGGTCCCGTTTCACAGCACTTTCACTGGTATGACGTAAAAGAATCCACACTGCTGTTCGTAAAGCGTAGGGGACCTAGAACCCGGTGAAGTGGTCAACATCTCATGGGCTGAGTGGGTAATGAAGAGTTTGATATCAGTTGGAGGGCAAATCCACCTGTTTTATCCCCTGTCATCGTGTTGATTCACATGGCGAATTTCACTAGTTTTTGCATTAAATGTATCATTTTTTCTCTTTTAGGTTAAGCCAAGAAATGCCACTGTGGTCCAGGGAAAGGGATATTCAATTTTACTTAGATCGACTGACTAGTTTAAAACTTTGTATTAAATAAGTAATAAACGTTTTGAACTGAATTTACTATTCAAAGCTTGTTTCAAATATCTTTACTCCATTATTTAGTTTCAGAAACACGTATACATCTATTTAGACATACGTGCATTCCAAAAACTAAAGTAGAAATAAACATGTATTTTATATTAGTAGAGAGACAATAAAAACTGTCGTTTGAAACGGGATCTTCACCCGTGTATGGAAATTTTTTTTTTGTACTAAATAGCTGTAGCGTTGGGAGGTTTATATTGGCTCTGGGCGCAGGCAAAATACTCACAGAACTGCCAGACTCCGACAGGTCATTTCCGACTCCCAGGTTTTACGAAGTAAAAGCATATTAAATAAATTCAGTATCTCTAGCGGAAAAAGGATGTACAATTTCAAGGAAAGTCTAAATAAATAAAAAAAGAAACAATGTAGAATTCAGTTTGCAGATTGAAATTTTTGAAAGGGGAGAGTTGGATCAGATATAAGTTGTCTTCTAAAAATATCCCGCACATTCCAAAATCCAACGATAATAGAAGACACCATCGTTTTGGTTAGCAAAGCAAAAGATGACAACCCGCCCTAAAACCATTTTTCTCATAATATCGAGATCATCCTCCTCAGTAGCAACATTGTCTCGCGACGCGTTTGTTACTTCAGTTCTCTGAAGTGTGAGGCAAGACGCCAGGCAAACCGCATCATGGGTAAAACGAAAGAGAAGAAGAGAGACGCCTGAGTACAAAAACGTATTTAGATTTTAATCAAAAAGGCGCTTTCAACAAATAAGCGCCTCACTAACCGCTAAAATGTTAAGCGCAATGAGAACGTGGCTCTCTCAAGTTTAGAGGTGGCGCTAAAGCATCACGTTAAAACCGCCTCCGAAAACCATCAACCAACTCTCACACAAAGATCGCTCTTCTCTGTGGCTTTTTTGTAGCTTGCGCGATCGGGAGAATCAAAGTGGCGGTAAATACTTATTTCGACAAATCTCATCAGTTGTGTTACCGGATGGCCGATGAGAGTATAGCCTCCCACGCAGACGTTCTTAAGGGTTCGTCGTGCGTTCATGCTACAGGAATGCATGACGAGCCCCTAAGAACGCCGTCTGCATGGGAAACTAATGAAAGTACTGGCAAACAAAATGTTAACCACCGTTTAAGCAAATACCTTTCACAGCGAACAGCTTTAAAAAACCCAAGTTAACGAAAAGAAACCCCACGCCTAAACGAAAAGCGCATCTTTTTATGGCTGCCTAAGATCGATAATACGCCCTGCTCCCAAAAAACGCGGCATCGAAAGGATAAAAGGATTAAAAGCGCAGTGATATTTTAGTTTACAGCTATTTCGAGAAAGGTTGTCCGAAAAAATAAGCGCGCGACAATCTCGAAAGATAATATGGTATATGCTCGATACATTGTTCCTGACACTGTAGCTGTCGAACCTACTTTTGTTACTTTCCTTTAGCAATCGCAGACATATGTCCATGGCTTCTCCTGCCATTATTTCAAACTTCTTTGAAAAACAGTGAACTCAAAACCACCCACAATACCTTTCGGGATTGTCGCGTGCACTTTATCCGACAACCTTTCTCAAAATAGCTGTATATGGTGGGCCACACTGCAAAACGGAATGACCTAATGGCTGAATAATGGAACAGTTAAAAACGAATAAAACAAGCCTATGATTAGGCAAAACGTACATCTTATTTTTAATTTATTTCTTATTTACTGGACATTTATAGAATTCTATATATTAAAAATCGACCTATGGAAAATCATTTGAAATTTGTGGAAATTTATGAACTATTTCTTATTTACTGGACATTTGCAGAATCCTATATATTAAAAATTGACCTATGGAAAATCATTTGAAAATTACGGAAATTTATGAAGTAAAATTAATCTGAAGATAACAATTAAATTGATAATTCAGGTTCATTTTTTCTTTAAAGCAATTCTGATTTTATGTATTTTGGTACGTACAAATTTTTGACAACACAAGAATACAAGTACAGTCTACTCCCGGTAACTCGAACCTTCTAAGGAAACCGAAAAAGGTTCGAGTTAGCGGGAGTTCAAAGCAAATAACTGGAAAAAAGAAAATGGGATGGGGAATGAATGCAAGTAACATACACACTTCAAAATTTGATTAATACAAAGTGCTGTTACTTCGAGTTAGCGGGAGGTTCGAGTGATCAAGGGTTTGAGTTACCGAGGGTAAAATTATAATAAACGTATGAAGGAAATCCAGGGGAAATCGATTTTGGTTACAACCAGTTGCAAAAATGTTGAGACACTCCCACGAAAAAACGACGTTTCTTGCTTCAAATTGCTGCTGGTCACAGGTCTGAGAGATATATAGTACTGACCTCCCTCCTCCCTCCCATTCAAAGTGGTTCCTCTAAGTTTTGAGCATGATCTTGTATTGCTAGCAACTTTGATAAGGGGTGGAGGGGCGATCACGAGCATACGATCATGGACAGTCCATTTATGCCAAAATACGGTACAGTGTCTCAACTATTTTTGCAACTGGTTGTAGCACAAGGTTCGAGCTACAGCTGTAGCGAGGGTTCGAGTGGACTGTGGACTGTATATTTCCACCAAAATCTAAATCTGATTAATTCCACTAGTAATTAATATCATATTATACCTTATAAATGTTTTTCTGTTACGATTGCTTATAGGTATGTCATAACTACCATATAATACCAAAACTTTTTGCGACGTCTATCACCGATGTATATTAGATAAAAGTGTATCTAATATACATATAATAATATAATGCTACTAATATCTGCTATTACAAGGAAAGCGAACTCTTCCCTCGGCTAATGCTATCAATATTATGCTACTAATATCTGCTATAATTACAGGGAAAGCGAACTCTTCCCTCCGCTTTCTTGAGAAGAAATCTATATAACTGCCCCGAACAGATCAAGACACAGGCGTATTATTCTTTAGTTAGACCCCACTTGGAGTATGCATGCTCGGTGTGGGACCCACATACACAAAAGAACATTCAATCAATTGAGACAGTCCAGCGCAGAGCGGCTCGTTTTGTGAAGAAGTGCAATCAGCGCACACCGGGTACCAACACAAGTTTACAAGAGGAGCTAAAATGGCCATCATTGGAACAGAGAAGAAAACAAACAAGATTAACAAACTTGTATAAGATCGTAAATGGCACCCTGGCAGTAGAAATTCCAAATTACTTCAGGCAAAGGAACGCCAAACAAGAAATTACTATCCACTTAAATTTATAAATGCTGGTTGCAGGACTAATATACATAAATATAGCTTTTTTCCCAGATCCGTTAAAGAATGGAACGAACTTCCCGAAACAATTATTGAAACTGCCAACACAGAGGCCTTCAAGCTTGCCTTGAGGGCCCACGCCAGGCCCCATTGAGCATTTGAACATTTTTTATTTTTATATCACCAGCACAAATTCACTGCACTGTTTTTTTAGCGCACAGAGCACGAGCACAGCACATATCTGCTGAAGATGGGCTGCACTGCCCTTTGCAGACCAGACATTTAGATTTAGATTTAAATCTGTCAGAATTCAACGCCGTATTCAACGCATTATTTTCCTCATAAAAAGTGAAGAATTCTATAACTGAGATAGGTACGTTGGAGGTAAGTTAGGCCAAATAACACGCTCGACAAATAAGCAAGAGAGGTGACAGGTTCGAACTCACTTTAAGCGTCCATGCTTCGCCGGTGCCCTTGTGACGAACTCGGTGGCTGCATTTCGCGGTTCCGGGACGAGTGAAGGGATTTACGGATACGTTTCTCCATTTGGAATCCCATGAGATCTTTGCGGGTTATTATTCCCCTGACCCTAGAATAAAGGAATTATTAATCAAGAACTTATGTATTTTTCACACAAAGCAATTCTCACAAAAGCTCAGAAACTAAAGAGAGGTGGATTCTTCCTCGTTTTGAAGTTGGAGCGATCCCCCTTACTATGCAATTCCAGCGAAATTCGCCTACTTTGACAAGCTGAGCGAGTTCAAGAGAGGATTCGCGAAGAAGTCTAAAGGAGCAAAAATTCACTTTACTTGTGACACTAATATATAGATTTAGCCAGGGCTAAAAGCGAAGCTCTCGATAAGATTTATAGTTTGCTCAAACAAAATGTAAAATAGCGAAATACTATGCGGCGAAGGCAACGAGAACGGTGAAAACAGAACAATAGGTCTAATTAGCAAAAAAGCAACTCTGCACGTGCAGCACACTTTTTTTGTACATTTCTTTGCCGTTGCTTTGCACGACTATAACGAGAAATTTCCAGAAACTTCCTGGCTACACGTTTTATGGAGGAAATGTCGTACGTGTTCTTGTCCATTTTTTTTCCAGTGTCGCTCATTTTCGCCCAGGTGGCCGCTAGCATTTCTTATTTTTCACCGCCGCTACAAAATTTCATGTTGTTCCTCCAACAAAAAATGTCTCCTTTCTTTTTTTCTATCTCGCTCTAGCTCTTTTTCTCGTTGAGCTTCGCTGGCCTGTCGCCTTACTTTCTCCGTTTTTCTCTGTCTTTCTCTTTCTCTATTTTCCAAATTTGTAGACATGACAATTAATCTAAACTTAACACTTTAGACAACAGGATACAAAAACATTTTCCGCTTTCCGTTTTTGACTCTTTCGCTGTCTCTGCTTCACAACACAAATAAAATAACCTGACATTTAGCACCGGCTTACACGAAGTGGGTGTACGGACGGTCGGCGTTCGTACGCTACGTCACAACCAAATTTTCTCAGATGGATAGTTTACCAAATTTTCTTACCCTTGGTGCTCCGCTGGCGCGCTAGCGCGCGTGAGAGCTCCGCTGTTACTGCCGTTGTCGTTACGGTAGTTTCATCTCATGAGCGAGCAGCGACTTTTTTTCATTAAAGCAAACAAGCACGACGGAAAAAAGCCACAAAGAAACTACAACATACCTGTTTCTCTCGTCAACGACTGTTAAATGCCTGTTGGTAACAGAAGGTTAAAAAAGTGGGTCGCACCCGTCTCTGTTTTCACTGGCTCAAGTAGACTGTTTACAGTCCCCTATTTTTTCGTAAGATCGTCAGGATCGAGCGCTTACCGGTCCGGCGGTCATCTTGGTTTTATATGTACCAAGGGGGCGGGCGTCGGGGCTTCAAGCGGTGGCGGTCCCACTCCCCCTAAGTATATTGGACACTCATCCAAGGTGGCCCCCGTAACGCAAAGCGCTCGATCTCGACGATCTTACAATAGACCGTTCACAGTCTATGGCTCAAGTGATAGTCAACAACAGCTTATCTGCCCCCGCAGTGTTCTTGCCGACAGGCGTGGTCATTAACAGAATTTACGTTATATTGAACGAAATTTATTACTAAAGGAGAAAACAGTTTTCAGAAATAACTTAGCTACATCTTTGTGAAGATACCATTTATTGGTATATATGTGAAATAACTTAGGTCCTTTCTTGTTTGGATATCATCTTAATTATTTTCAGTCCCACCCTCCAGCCCCACCCTAACACCAATTTGCCTGGCCACGGTGACAAATATTTAACAAATATTCCTCGATCCGGAATGGGCTCTAAGTCAGTAGCCCATGAGGCCGGCGGTTGTTACTTGTTTCCATCCGCCAAACTGACATTTTCCTCTCAGTGGCTATCACAGGACATTTCACTTTTCTTACTTGAAATTTCTGTTCATAAAAGTCTAAGTCTCTTCAATTTTTAAGGGAAAAAATAAGATGGCACGAGTAGGATTCGATCTCGGAGCATCGCCTCTGGTTTGATTTGAATATCTATAGCAACAACCCTAACCTTAACCCTAACCCTAACCTCAGTTTGGCGGATGGAATAAGTGTTCACCGAGGCCGAAGGCCGAATTGGCTATTGACTAAGAGGCCATGAGAGCGAGAGGAATATTAGACCTTTGTCACGCGGCGGCTATTTGTCTCAGGAGATTTAAAAAGCTTTGTAAATGCACGGCTAGCCTTGTAGAGAGAACGAAGCTAGTCGTCCATAAACAAAGCTTTTTAAATCTTTTGAGACAAAATGGCCCTCGCGTGACAAAGGTCTATTGTTTTAGTAAAATCCAACTAGTTGCTCAAAAGTATTGAGACAAAACAACTTTAGCTAGCAAAACGCGATTCAACCGCCATTGTTTTGGTAGTGGGTTATAACATGTAGCCTAGCAGAAGCTCAACCAATCAGAACGCAGCATTGATAATAGACCACTAGTTGAATTTTACTAAACGGCAATAGCTTTGTATCCCAAGGTATCGTCCTTAAAATTCGCTGAAGTCATTGTCAGTGTCAGTATCATCAGTAGACAGACATACCTCAAACCCAGTGTCCTGAATATGATGTAGGTTCTGTGAAGAGAGAACGTGTCTTGTACCGTGGGAGCGGAATGATTCACATAAGGTGACTGCAAACGATACAAAAAGTTGCATATAAATCAGTTTGAATCCAAATAAGAAAAAAGGAGTACACTATACATCTACAGAACCTATCTGCTCTTTGTTTGTCGATTAATCGAATCTCTTAATAGACCGCTTTAGCTTATGTTTTTTTTCCCAATGAAGCTCCCAGGGGAATTTGTTCCTTGAGTATTATCACATGACGTACACTGTCGTGCGTTCCTCTGAGATAATCAGGATCAGGATCAGTGATCCCAGACCCCTCGGATCATAGCACATCAAAGGAACCGTCTAATTCACCCTGTGATAGGATTCAACGATTCATTTAAGCCTGGTTTCCATATGATCGCTACGATCGCTGAGAAAAAAAAAAGTTCAGCGATCGCGGCGATCATATGAAAATCATTTTCATTTTCATGATCGCTATGATCGCTTCGATTGCTGAACTTTTTTTTTCTCAGCGATCGCAGGTATCGTAGCGAGCATATGGAAACCAGGCTTTAATGTGCTATGATCCGGGTACTCTTGGATCAATGATTCCGATTAGGATCATCCCAAAGGAACGCACCCACAACATACCAGTTAAAGAGATCTATTCTCTGTTGCCCAAGAACATTTTTAAAAGAGAGTAAGGAAGAGAAGAAGAGCCTCATTCAAAATATGAGGATAAAACCTTTGGACACTCTTGTTGTACTAGATGCCTGAACCCGCATCTTTTCCACCTCGTTCAACATGATGACAATTTTTGACCTGCCGTTACGAATAGAAAATGTATCTCTCCAGGCATTGGAATCTATTCGAATATAATGGATACAATGGACTCCATCGGAACGACTTTTCCACCCCCTCATACAACAGGAGTGGAATTTTCTAAATCTCTCACGAATAGACAAATGTACTTTTCCATCGGAATCTATTCGTTTCCAATGGATCCGATGGACTCCATCGGAACGACTTTTATACCCCCTCATCCAACATCAGTGGAATCTTTCAAAGTCTCTCACTAACAGAAAATAAACTTTTCTATTGGAATTTATTCGCGTCCAATGGATCCGATGGACTCCATCGGAACGACTTTCCACCCTCTCATCCAACATGGGTGGAATTTTTTTTAAGTCTCTCACGAATAGAAAATGAACTTTTCCATCGGAATCTATTCGTTTCCAATGGATCAGATGGACTCCATCGGAACGGCTTTTCCGCCCCCTCATCCAACATGAGTGGAATTTTTCTAAGTCTCCCACGAACAGAAAATGAACTTTTCCATCGGAATCTATTCGTGTCCAATGGATCCAATACACTTGGTAGGACGTTACACCACTAGACTTCCGGTTTTCCGATGGAAAGAGGGAGGATACGACTGGATTCTAGTGGACAGTATTGGACAACCCTCCCAGATCGGAACTCTGTCCCGCTGGCCCTGAGGAGCGAACATGATTTATATAAGTTTGGACTTGGCCTTAAAAGACCCTTTAGATCCAAGCCAAATTCAGCCTCCAATACTTTTGCTGTACTTAGTTGTTCCATTTTTTGTCTGATATTGTCTTTTGTGTTGTTTTTTCTTTTCCTCTGGGCCCCATTTAAACCAGCCTCACTGAACTGGGCATCCCTGAATAAATATTGTTCAAAATAAAAATAAAGTAGGAAGTAAAAAACGTTAAGCAAGGAAACCCTGCCTTGTGTAAAATCAATCCCCCCCTCAGTTCTTATCTAATTTCCACCCAAGCCAGGCTTGACGTTTTTAAAAGAGTTCTTGTTTTGACTTGCTTGACCTTTACTTTACTGTGTGGCCTGAATATGAGAGAGGTGTAAACCCGGCACTAACTCACCTCTTCCCAACTTTTGATATTGCTACATGGGGAAAATACTATATTTCTTTTTACCAGTGTCGCTTCTTACTAGATTGATGAACAAATTCTGGTAACGGGGATTTTCCGCGTAAAGATCTAACTGAGTGTTCAATCGAGCAGCATGATCCTTGTGGTATCCTTGGTCCATCTACAAAAAAAGAGAAAGCTCAGTGTTTTTGCGTACAAGAGGTGCTGTCGTGTATTACATGAAGTGGTAAGCGAGATACACTTCGTGTAGACTTACATCACGGGCAGTGAATAAAGGAGCACTTGGTCGACTAGTTGTGCGCTTTCTTTCATGCTAATTTCAGTTGTAGTTTCACAACTAGCAATCCTTCAATTTATATATTAAGAGGATACAACAGGTACGATTTCTTTTGTACGAGTTCACATAAAACTTCCGCCAGAATTCCATTCAGGGTCAAGTTTTTTCAAGTCCAGTCAGCTATGATCCTGAGTTGACGGCGAAGAAAGCATATGAGTTGTCAAGGTAACTAAAGCTACGGTAAATGGGGCAACAAGAACGGGCAACCTCTCTCTACTTTCTTTAACAACTGTTTTCGCAACCTGCAACAACCTAATTGTTGCAAGACAGGTTTGATTAGTGGGTGGTAAAACGCACAACATCGCTATTCGACTCGTTTTGCAGCAATGTTGCGAAACAAGTTGCACGTTTTTGGTACACATTCTTCCGTACCTTAACCCTGGATGCACATGCACAGGCCAAATCGTGTCAGGCAACGTTTAAAAGACTACCAGGAGAACTCTTCCATTAGACACAAATTTTACTCAACTGATGCCGTGTGATTTTCTTAATTTCATAGATAAACCACACGCTAAACAGGTTGGATTAACGTTTGGGATTTTACTCTAAGGTGCTGTTTATATGCAGGTGGGGGCGGGGGGGGGGGGGGGAACCCAGCCTGTTTGTATAATCTTTCATATGATCCCCCTCCCTATCACGAAAACGTGTTCAAATAAAAATGAGAGATTATATAAAAAGGCGGGCTCACCCCCCCTAACGGGGTTACTCCCCCTCCCTGGGGCCCCCCACCCCCCTCAAAAAAGCCCTTAAAACTTAAATTATCACCACCTAAAACGAGATCTATAACGATGACAGTACGATTATACTTGCATTCAAGTTTAATATTACATTTTAGTAAAGTTTTTCTTATTTATGTCGTTTTTTTTATATTTAGTTGAAAGTGAAAAGAAGGGGATTGAGGTGAGGTGTGTGGTTGGGGTGGTGGGATGTGGGTGGGTGGGGGAGGGAGGGGGGGGGGGAGGGGGGGGGGGTAACCAGCCTGTCTGTATAATCTTTCATATGATCACCCTACCTATCACGTAACCGTGATCAAATTAAAATGAGAGATTATATGAACAGGCTGGCTCACCCCACCTAAGCGGGTTACTTCACCTACCTGGGGTCCCCCACCTCCATGAAAATAGGCCTTACAACTTTAATTATCATCCACTGTGCAGACTACACTTTCGTAAAAGCTTCTCTTCTTAACCTCAAACAACGACAGCAACAAATTTTGAAACAGCCGCACTCACCTGTTTGTAGTCAAGCCTGTTTATGTCCGACTCCTCTTGGTACAATGATAGATTCTCTCGAAAGCAAAATATATCTTCGCGAGACAGAAGAACCATGATGTCGTTTCTAAAAGGCAACAACAGAAATGGACATTGGCGATATTATGCCACCTTAGAAACGAAATAAATTTTGTGTTACATAAAGGGACTATAAATAACTAAAAGAGTGTGAGTGTTGAAAGTCAAAAAATCAAATTTTGATTAATTTTTTCGTCGTAATTAAATTATCAGCTTCCTTTGTCTCCCTTTCACTATTTGCAATAATTTACGTTAGAAAAAAAGAATATCGAGAATCAACCTAGGTTACAATTTTTTCACCTGAATTTCCTTTTTTACCTACAACATGCCTATGCACCCCTCAAAGGAAGGAGGTACAAAATCCTTATATTTCGAATGTTACGCAACAATGCCAATGTTCGCCGATGCTCATATTTCGAGCTTGGGCTACCTGTGGTAAAACCTCTTATTTGCGGTGTCAGACATGTACAGCGCTGTGCCTATACGTGCATTATTCGCTAGCGCAGGTTACCCAAATTTGTGTGCGTCAAACTCAGTCCCTCTCACCCATAGCTACAGGAAAAAAAGTGGCTCACGACAAGGCTATAGTCCTTGGAGGACGGCCGACACGTAACGCGCGCGGAAAGAGAGATGTCAGTAGGTAACGCAAGTGAGGAGGGAACAGTGAGAGGGGAGAATTTGGGCAGGTGGGAAGGTTAGAGGAAATTACAGGGAAGGAGTACACTTACCCTAGACAGGAAATACTTACCGAGATATTAAACCTGAGAACACTTCATCCCCTCTGTCGGTTTTCACCACCACAGGGTACCCACAGTGACGGGTATCTTGCAAAAGCTGAGTGAGTCGAGACACTGACTCGATTTTGTGAACAACCTGAAAGACGAAAATGCAAACTTCAAGGATTTAGTTTCTGAGCGTGCGAGGAATTGAATCCTTCAGGTAAGCACCGAAGAAGAGGACCCAGCTGTACGTCTATACTTCCAAAAGTCTCCTCGAGTTTCTTAAACACTATGAAAGATGCAATTAAGTGATTCGCTCCTAACCATACTGGACCAAAGCCGCACTCTAACCGCGTGTGTCCATGGGATGGTCGCTGATTAGTGCATCACTTCAGGACGCCGAAACTGCCCACCTACCCCACCCCTAAGCCAACATTTTGAACTTAGTGAGAAGTAAGTGTTAATGGTGGCTTAGGGGTGGGGTAGGTGGGCAGTTTCCCAGAAACGTTAAAATGATCCGTTTGCTTTTGGAAATAAAATGCAAAGAAAGTCTTAAAACAAACGTGACCCTTGGATTTCTGCATAAACTTCTGGTATTTTTAATCCCCTTTTTCAGACATGAAACTCCCTAAAATTTTTCTACAGCAACTTCCGGTTTCAAATAATAAAAAAGTATGAGTTAATTCTGTTAAACTTACAATGGCCGGCGACGACATAGCATCTCCAGCTTTTAACAACTCCAAGTTAATCCTAAAAGAGCAAAGAAAGTTGCTTACAAGAAAAAAAGTCGATGAAGATTTTTGATTAGCAGGCTTTAATAATAACAAAGGGGACCACGGTGCGAAGAAGGAAACAAAAACGTGATTGATGAGTAAATCAATGCATTGCCTTGTGTTGGTTTTTACATTTAAGTCCCGCTCTCTGCATGACAACATTTGTTGATATTCCTTTGCCTTTATGAACTTGAATTCGCAACTCAAATTCTCAACCCGGAAATTTACGTGAATCACAAACTTTAACAAGAGTTCCAAAAACTCTCACTTGCAATGCCTTTTTTTGCGAAAATGAGATTTATTTTCATGGGAATGTAACCTTATTTTCATATTAAGAGCTTTCAAACAAGAGCCTTTGGGTAACTCGCGAATGGCCAATTTCAGATGGATTTGAGAGAGCGAGACTCGTTTATAAGTGGTATTCGTCTTAGTGTTGCCTTCATAGTCAATTTAAAACCTCACCGAATGTCTAAAACTGAAACCAAATCTCTAACTACCAATCTAAAACTGAATTCACGACTTCAGCCATGTAAAGCAAACTCAGAAAATTCAAGGAATCAATCAGGCCCCAGTTGTTGAAAAGGTGGATAGTGCTATACGCTGGATAAATCTCTAACCATTGTATAACGCAATTGGTTTCCCTAATATTTATCCACTGGACATTTAGACCCCGCGCGCGCCTCAACCTAGTCCCCAGTCTTCTCTCATCCTAAAAAACACTTAAATAGCGACTGGGTACGAGTCTGGCACGGTGGGGCCAAACCACCCCCCAAAGGACTTATCAAAGCATGGTAATTTTGGTTAATTTAGAATGACTTTGTTAGCTTATACCCTTTCCTTACCAAACTTTGCCCGAAAATACGGAACATCAAGCCAATCAAAATGGTTTATAGGATGACACCAAATGTCCAATTATGACGTCACATTTGTTGACGTCATTCATACGTACTTTTTAAACTTTTGAACGTCTCAATTTTTAAACCGTTTTTGATAGAAATATTCAAGGGAAGTTGAAAGCTGAAAAAAATTTCTACCAATATCTCGAATATGAACTCAGATTTGACATTCTGAATTTGGATAAATTGGTACCACAAAAACGGGGTACCCCCTTGTAAATCAAGTGTAAATATATTTAAGAGTTTTATTGTCAAGTTGCCCTTGCTATTTAAGTTACAAATAACACATCTTTACTGTCGAAAGCTAAAGGAACAAACAAATTCCTAACGGCGCCAAAACCTTGAAAACAGCTTTGTGACGTCATAAAATGTCACGTGATCAATGTTTTGGTTTGTAAAATTAGTGTTTTTGAGTCAACAAAACGAAAATCTAAAATGATACGATTTTGGCCAACTATAAAAGGTTTGTGCTACCGGAAAATCAGCTTACTTTGCAAAAAACTGTGACAAAAATATCATAGGGATAGTCTTTGAAGAAAAACTAAGGTTCCCTAATATTTACCCACTGGACAGTGATTTATCCAGTGGATAGTGCTGACCAGCTTTTGAACAATTGCGGCCAGAACTTAAAGCAATAAATGTCGTCATAGCTACGCGCGGGAAACACACGAGAATACTGAGCGACCTGAGTACGATCATGTGTCGTTTGAAGGTGAAGTTCACTAACAGGGAACTAAAGCAAAGGCGTTGCCTGAGCCACGCAAGTCAACCGAATGCGAGGCCTTAAGTTTTCTTTTAATATGCCTTGACGCTATTCAACTTTTTTTGCTAAGTTATTTTACTCTTACACATACGATTGGTCCGAATTATTGGGCAAAACCACTGCTCATGAATCCACATAGTCCATTTCCGGTGTACAAACGTGCGTTGTTTAAAACGTCTTTATAACCTAAGCTCCCGAATGAAAACCAGCCAATGCGTGGGAGGAAAAAAACTGGGACAATCTGAGAGCCATTCGACTATAATGACTTACGCTCGTGATCCCTTGTGGAGAATAACAGGTTCAGCAAGGAAGGGAATGCAGTTTAATTCCAGCAGTGCATAATAAAGAGGATGAGTGACAAAGTCACCAACCCACTTCGCTACCATAATGGCGACCATGATCGGTAACAAGAACTGGACGTCATTTGTGATCTCCATCTGAAAGTCCAACGAATTTGTAAGAGATTTTATTCTTAACAGTGGTTTGATGCTAGCACTTTTCCGCAGGATTAAAAACATTTAGCAGTAGGTTGGCTATTTCTTGTTCGAAAAACGTGTCAACATTTCCGCCATTTTCTCCAGCTCTACCAAAGCAGCTAATGCCCAGTTTAAACGTTGATCTTTTCATGTACCGAACTTAATACCTATTTAGGTCGACCCAAATGATACAAGGTCGACGGTTAATTCAGACGTCGAACTTAATTAGTTGGACTAAATTCATTTTCACAATGTACAATGGTCTAAAATGCTTACTAGTGAAAATAAATTTTAGTAATTTATGCATTAGGTTCGGCATATGAGAAGTTAGACGTTTGAAGCGAAATCACTCCACGGTCGAAATTCCCATGTGGGCCACTCGATTTTAATTAAAAGGTCGACGCAAATTCAGGATATGTTGGACCATTGATTCAAACGTCGATCTCTTCATGTTCTAAATTGAAGGGATTAGGTTCGCTACATGAAAAGAACGCAACCTCGTCCCCATATCTTCTGTACTGCTGATGTCATTTTCCTGGTTATTACAAACTCTTCCAAATTTGGTCAACGCCAACTTGTCATGAAGAATTAGCCGAGGGATTTGAGCCAATCAGAAACGGAGAAATACACTAAACAAATAATAATAAAAGATAACGAATCGCTCATTAAGAGCCGATTCTTTTCAGTTTTGACTGTTCTAGTTCTTTTAACCCGATATTTTGACTTACCATAATCACTGTTAATGAAACGGTTAGTCTTGACACTCCACCACAAAATGATGCTGCACCGATAAGCGCAAAGGCTCCTGGATCCATCCACGCCCAGTAACCTGATGTAAAAATACAAAGTAAGCCGGAACATACGATTACTTTCAAATCCACTTCTTTAGGGATTGCACAATGGACTTCTTGTAAATGCAAACAGCTGTCCCGAAGGCCATAGTCAACGAATGAAATGTCCTGTTAATTGACAAAAGTAAGATTTTTATTTCCCTAATCCGTTTATGGAAAAGTTAAAACGATCAAAACAAGCTTCGCTAGATTTCCAATCAAGTGTAACCCAGCGAGTCAAAAAGGCTCGTCCTCTTGGCCAGTCAGAATGAAGAGAATATTTAACAATTATTCCTCGAGCCCGAATGGGCTCTGAGTCATTCGGCCTCATGGGCTATTGACTCGAAGGCCATGAGGGCGAGAGGAATAATTGTTTTAGTAAAGTCCAACTAGTTGGTCAAAAATATCGAGAATCAAAAAATGTTAGCTAGTTAAAAGCTACAGTTTAATCCTTTTTTGCCGCCAAAAAGCCCACGCTTTTCGCTACTAGGGGGCTATAACATATAGCCTAGTAGTAGCTCAACCAATCAGAACGCAGCATTGATAATAGACCACTAGTTGGATTTTACTAACTAGTTTTAGTTCGTAATTAACTGGCTTTGCTTTGTACGTCATACGAGAGTCGCTCGCGTAAAGTTCATTTAACTCGATCATTATAAGTTGCCCACCTACCCCTACCCCAAGCCAACATTTTGCCGTAAGTGAGAAGCAAGTCTTAATGTTGGCTTAGGGGAGGGGTAGGTGGGCAGTTTCCCAGAAACGTATCATGATCCATTTAATTCATCCAATTTATCTACATCCTGCCAGCAGGGCAAAAAAAGACAAACGAAGGCTCTGTCGTAGTCTACGTTGTAGCCGGCCCACGCACTCGTCTAAACCAGGCTCTATACAGAAGGTTTAGAGTCGCCCCATGTAAGGGAATGGGGATTACTGGATTCCAGATCTTTGTCAGGGGAACTTGGATTCCGGATTCGAATTGTTAGTGGGATTCCGGATTCCTACACCTGTATTCCGGATTCCAAGGCCCAGGATTCCGGATTCCACAAGCAAAAATTTCCAAGATTCCGGATTCCAAATGCAAAAATTTCCCGGATTCCGGAATCTCGATTCCTTTACATGGTCTGCGACGCAGGCAAGCTCTGTCGGCAGTGTGATTCATCTATTGTTTTAGTTGCATTAAAAATCGCTGCAACGGGATGAGAGGGAAGGCGGCTGTGTTCGCAGGCTATGCATTTTCTTGTTTTCTCAAGTTGGCGCGAACAAGCACACTCGTTTAAAAGCCACACACCTGTTGAGTGAAAACCGAACATGTCAACCATAGCTCTTCCAATAATCCGTCCATACGTCGCACCTATAAATCTAAAAAGATTAGATCTCTGCGTGAATTGGTGACCAGATAAAGTACTTTATTATTCATTCCAAATATTTCTTCGTTTCTGATAGGCTAAAAGCACACGCATAATTCACCATAAAAAGCTACTGTTGACCAAATTTGGAAGAATTTTGCGATTAATCAACCGATGACGTCAAAAGTGCAGCACAGTTGCAGCCTAATGCACTGTTTACCGAGCAGACCTGGGGACGAGGTTGAGTTGTTCTTGAAAAGAAAAATGGCCGAACAGTCGGCGGAACATATTACTCGTTTCACGACGAATTATTGTCTAAACCTTAACTTTAACTTGATTATTCCATCGTTCACATAGAGTGTGTGGGCTGCGGCTATGTTGGAGGAGTAAAACAATAACACGATTTTCCTCTGGGCAAAAAATTCATTTTTATGCAAATATTTCATTTATTGTCTATTCTTCCAACATGGTCGCCTCGCACAGGCTCTATAGTACAAACTCAGTAAAGCCGAAACCGGGGGCTTATGCGGCCTGTGGTCAGCGTGACAGAAATTACTTTATGTAGAAATGAAGACTGTAGGCTAAATTACAAAACTAAAACAAGATACAAAACGGAAATTAAGTATGTTTACACGCATGCAGTCCGATAACTGAGACAAAACTAGTGACAAATCAACTAACAATAAAATATGAGGATCCTGCGCTAGTTCAATTCAGGCTTAAAAAAAGAAGTTTTAGTTTATTTTTAAAGTTAGTAGTGGTAAGGCTGTCAAGGACAGTCACGGGGATATCGTTCCAAATAATCGGGGCTTGAGAACTAATAGCAAATTGATACCTGACGGACATTTTATGCAAGTTAAAACGAGAACGAGTTAGATAACCTTGAAAATCACAATTAAAGTGGAAAAGCGAGGAAAGAGAGGCAGGTAGAAGGCGATTAAAGTGTGAGAATACAAAACTAGAAACATGGAATTTGTAGAGAGAATGGAGACAAGAAATATTAAGCTTCGACAAAAGAGGCTTAGAGCGTGTTCATGGAAAAGAAAAGGTGATAATTCGAATGGCTTTCTTTTGGAGTAGATAGAGGGGTTCAAGGTAGGAAGCATATGTAGATGCCCACATGAGATTACAATAGTTGATATAAGGTAGAAAGAAGAAATAATATAAGGTTTTCAGAGTGACCGAGGGTAAGTATCGTCTCGATTTAGACAAAATTCCTATAACCTTAGCGACTTTATCACAGATGGAAGTGATGCGCGGTTTCCATGAAAGGTTTTCGTGAATAATTATTCCAAGAAATCTACGTTCCTGTTTATGTTCATGCACTATCGAGGTGAACTTAACATCGACGAAGGTATGAATGTTTTAGCTTGTTTTTAAACTAGGAGTTATTTTGAATGAATAATAAAGCAATTAATGAATTCGGTTTTCGTAGGATACAAAGAATTATGCAGATCTCGGAGGATGTTATCCACATCGGCCCTCGATCTGCATAATTCTTCATGACCAATCACAACAGCTGCAAACGGTGCCATTAACCAATCAGAACTCAAAGAAAAGAACATTTAGCTGCGGATCAATGCCAAGCGCGGGAAAATAAGTGTATGCAATCCACGAGTTCCTCAAGTTGGCCAAAGGCTTGATTAGTAAGATAACACATCTAGTAACACTTAAAAAGCCCTACTAACACCAACAAAACATGTTTAGTTAAGCTAAAACAAAACGAATATCAGGAAAAGAAAACTTAATAACGACTGCCTTTACATAGATTTGAAGTAACTTTTGACTTATGCTTTGCAGCCTTTCAATTGTGCCACATTTGCAGCTGACAAATGTGGCAGTTTCTTTAGACAACTGCATCGTACATGTAGGCTTCAGGCTACCCTTCCTGATCATAACACAGGTTTCCCAAGCATCCTGAACGCACAGAAATTGTACTTACAACATAGGCACGACCAAACCGCTAGAGATAGCAGTTCCAGCTGACCAACACGCTAGTAGAAAGTAGATTACTAAAACTGTAAACAGCGACCTGAAAAAAAAGAGACAAAATCCATTAACAACGTTCGATATTTGCTTATTATTAAAAACGTCAATCACACTAGATTTAATGATCAAGATATGTCATATAAATATACCTTTTTAGTAAGTGGCGAAAAAATTATGGTGTCGACTGTGACTACGCAAGTGAAACCTTTTTAACAGTACTTTACCATCATGATGGTGCCATTTGTTTTACAGAATTTTTCAAAATCAGATATGAGATTTGTCTTCCTTTCATCAGAAACAATAGCTAAGTCCACTCTTAAATATACAAAAAGCCTTCAGTGCCAAGAATCAGGTCTGTGTAATATTTCATAAGCGATATATTTGGAAAAACATTTTACCTAAATTTATAAAGCTTTGTTTAGAGACGCCATGTTTGTGTCCCTTTCAGGAGCACAAATACGGCCGCCGGAAATCAACAGAAACGTCTGTTTTTGAGTTTCCCTACTAATGCTTAAACTGTTCGGTTGAGGAACTCAAAAGTATTAAAGTAATATTTATGTTTAGCCAGCGAAATCTCCCAAAATCCGTAAGGTTTTTAACAAACATAAGAACTTTCCCGGCCGCCAGCTAAATGCCGCGTCACGCAAAAGCCTGGAAATTAAAGCGTCCTGTATCGCAAAACGAAGAACCCTTTTAGACCGAGAATTTGCTTGTATAAAGGCTTTAGGGTGCTCTAGTACCAAATGAAAGTAGAAGCTCAGAAGAAGCCATAGTTTCCTAGTTTGAATTTTGGTGACGTCATTTAAAAACCAAGAATGGCACATTCCAAATTCAATCTCGAGGAACACTTGGAAATTCACAACGAAAGTAGTTTAACTGCTTGAAAGAAAAACAGCTGTGAAGTTACTATGATTAAGGGAGAACTAATTTTCAAAAGTTTTTTCAAGTGTTGAAAAAAAACAACTACAAAATGAGATAAAAGAGGAGAGCTTCTGTTCCGCTATAGCTAGAGAGAAAATTGTTCTATAAAGCTTCAACGTTGGGAAAATTATTTTTTGGAAACTCATACAACTTTGAGATTTTGGAGGCCACTTATAATTGTCTTGTCTAAGGTTGCGTTGAGAGAATTATTGCTACATACGCATATCCCAGCTTATCAGGCGTATTCCTGGAGAACAAGCGATGAATGGCTTTTTCTCCAGTTGCAAATAACAACGTGGCAACTAAAGAAAAAGAAAAGAAATACATCCCACAATGATTAGAAACCACGATAGACATCCATGAGCTACCACTAGTAATTAGGGGAGTGGGGTGGGGAATGGAAAAGTGCCATCAATGTCTGAGAGTTACTCTTCCTTTTTACATTTTGGTCTTTGGGTTGATTCCTTTTTTGGATTCTCCAACGCAAATGTACCGCCCACTTGTCCCCAAAATGATTTTAACGGAACCTCGGTACGTCCATTTAACGTAAAGTGTTTTAAGGTAGGGTACCGTTGCACACAAAATCTTATATCAGACGGAGCTTTTAACGTCTGGAGCTATAGCAACGATGGCGGCGATGGCAACGGCTACGAGATCGTCAAGGGCTCAAGTGATCCTACTGCGACTCTCTTCTTATCGCTTTGAAAGACTGTGCTCAAACGCCACGCCCAGAAATTTAATGTACTAGAAACTATAGAAAACGTTTGAAAAATTTCAATTGCTGAAAATGTTTTCACTCATAACCAAATCCATTACCCCCACCCCTTCGCCCATTCCCTGGTTACCTTCGTTAAAGGAAGAGTTGGTAAACTCTGTTCCATTGATGACTCTAATGATTCCTACAGGACAGGTGTAGTTCTTGACGTCTCTCTCAGTGAGCATAGGACGCTGACTGCCTGTCAAACACTTTTCACCAGGATTTAACGTCATGTTCCTTGGACAATATTATTTACAACAGATGGAGCATTAGCAACGGGCTTGCGAGGGTGCACATTTGCCTAGATAATTTAACCAAGGTCAATGGTGATCAGTGATGGATTTGAAAATGATATTTCTTCAGTCAGTGACAGAGAGGAATCAGAAGAAAATCTGAGTTACACAAAAACTCCTTGTCTCGTTTTGGCGTAAAACTTTGGAATGAGATAACTTGTCATATTAGAGATCTTCCTAAAAAGGAATTTACGAGAGTACTTCACAGATTGCTTTCCCATACCTTAAAAAGACAAAATGACCATATCGATTACGCCGTTGATAATTAAAAAAGCTGAATTAAAAGTTGAGTATTTCTGTATAAAATTATATGTTTTCCGCTCTCCGTCAATTCCTTTGATAGAAATAAGAATTATTGTAACTTCAAATATTTTTCTTCCTTTCATTTCATTTTATTTTTTTCTTTTAACTGGGCCTTCTACATTAGCAATTGCTATCTTGCGGTCAGTCTATTGTAATACCATTTTTAATGAACAACGTTGAAGTTGAAGTTGAGTTCTGCCAGCTAGAGTCGAATCCTTGATAACCTTCTTGTTTCTAGTCCAGATGCTCTATTGCTGAGCTTTAAGAAACCTGTGGCAGCTCAGGTTCATGTTTCAAACATTCTGAAAACTGCTAGGTGGCAAGTTGACGATGATATGAATGTGAAGAAGAATTTTAAGCCCGGTGACTAGCCTGAGAAAACAGCCGACATTCGCGATGCCACCACTGGTTTCCCCGCCAAAATGACATCTGAGAAAGCAGTGCAGATATTCCACACTGGAGATCTGGGTAGTGCTTCTGATTGGCTGAAGCAAATTTCCCATGCGGGGATGGCCAATCAAAAGTACTACCCAGATCTAGATAGTGACGTCATCAGTATACAATTTCTGCACTTGTTTCTCAGACGTCATTTCACGGAGAAACCAGTGGAGGCGTTGTGAAATGTCAGCCTTGTTAATAAAATTAAAGAGAACGATGTTTCCTCAGGCAGTGACAAGCAGAGAGAGTCCATAGAGGCCTGGTGCTGACTCTGCTATCGCTCTGTTTCCTTAACCAAGAGCTTCATTTGTTTTTTCTGCACTCTACTTTCTGGCCTCACTTTTTCTTACAACAGGGTTCGTATTCTTTTTTGAACAAAAAATTCAAGGACTTTTCAAGGACACATTTCCTATTTTTCAAGGACTCCATTCAGTGCAAAAAAGAGCCTTGACTCTGTCTTTTCAGGTTCTTCCACAACATGAGTAACTTTATCCTGAAGGTCTTTCTGTGTTTGCTCCTTTTTGTTTTGAGTTCTACTTAAACTATGAAGTTAGCATTGAAATTAAAGGACTTTGCAGCACCGACTGCAATTTTCAAGGACTTAGAAAATAGACATAGAAAAACAAAGAGAAGTTTTTTTTCGTGAGAAAATCGACGAGAACAAAGGAAACCCGAAAGGTGTTTGGAAAGCTCTGAAATCGTTAAGAGGGACAAGTAAACCTCAACTTCGTATCAACGAAATAACTACAGAAAATGAAGTTGTCAGCGAGGAATCTGTCATTGCAAACGAGCTAAACGAGTACTTTGTTAACATCCTAGAACAAATAGGTAATAACAACGATGCTGGCGTAGATTTTGAAAACACAAAGCTGAAAAACTTTGTTCACTCAAGATTAAACGTAGATACGGTTTACAACATTCCTCTATTAACGATTACGCAAACCATTGCCATTACAGATAAAATATCTAGTAACAAGGCCTCTGGTTACGATGGCCTAAGCGTACGTGTACTCAAGAAAATTGCACCTGTGTTTGCAAATCCTTTATGCAAATTACTTAATCTTTCAATATCGACAAACAGTTTTCCTAACCACTGGAAAACAGCTCAAGTCACACCACTGCACAAAGGTGGAGTACGAAATGATATCAACAATTATCGCCCCATATCGGTTTTACCTATCCCTTCGAAAATTCTCGAAAAGCATGTGGCCAGCTCTCTCTCTGTTTTCTTACGCGATAATAACTTATTTTACGAGCTGCAATCAGCCTTTAGGTCAGGACACTCAACTGAAACAGCCTTGATCAGACTCACGGATCAGATTCTTAAAAACATGGACAATGACGAAGTGATCGGTCTGGTTTTTATAGATTTCCGAAAAGCTTTTGATGTGATTGATCACGAACTTCTTTTAAAAAAGTTGTCCATCTACGGTGCTACTCCTCCTTCTGTTGCCTGGTTCAAATCCCACCTGTCTGAGAGGAAGCAGTTCATTTCGTTCGGGAAAACTACGTCTAACCAGTTGACGGTAAAGCAAGGTGTACCACAAGGATCAATCCTACGTCTGGTGCTCTTCCTTTTGTTCGTCAACGATATGCCCCTCGACGTCCAAAAGTCAACTATGGACATTATGCAGGTGACACCACCTTATCGCTGAGTTTCAAACTGGAAAACCCTGCCATTACTAAATCAATCTTTGTCACAGGGCCTGAGTGAAGTAGAGAGATGGGCTAGACAGAACAAAATGTATATGGATATGCAAAAAACTAAAGCTTTGTTGGTAACGGGGAAGCGCCTACGAAAGCGCATGGTCCAAGATACAGGAAAACTGGAAGTAACAACGGATAACGCAGAAATTGAAAGAGTCGCAAACCATAAACTTCTTGGTATGATCATTGATGAACATCTAACTTACGAAAAGCATGTCGATAAACTCTGCATCAAACTTTCGAAGCGACTCGGCCTTTTACGCCATATTAGCCCCTACTTAAAGAAAAACCAAAGGATAATCTATTTTAACGCAGTAATTAAACCTCCTCTGATGTATGCAAGCACAGTATGGACTTCGTGCAACAAAGAGGTACTTGAGAGAGTTCTCCGTATGCAGAAACGGGTGGTACGTATTATACTTGAAGCACAACGCACAAGTCGAACAGTAACATTATTTAACAACCTAAGCTGGATCCCCTTTTATAATGAAGCGTATATTAAACGTTGTGAACTGGCCTTTAAAAGGATAAATGGTAGTCAGTTATACTAAAAACAAGTCACGATCACTAAAAACAAGGTCTTTGAAATCCTTTAAGGCTGAATTATGGAAAATAGTTTTAAATTCTCAGAAGTCAAAGGGGTCGTTTGACCTAAATTAATGACAATAGATGGATATTGGATGCTCTTCGTTTTTAATAGTTTTTCATTTTTATTTTTATCGAATTCTAGGAATTGTTTATCGTAAATAATAATTTATTGCTAAAGTATTTTTATATTTTTAGAGGGCCATAAGTTGATCAGTAATGTTTAGTTACTGTTACGTGTCACCCGCATAAAATAGTCTCTTACTTACTTACCCTTCAGAGGTAAAACTGCTCTGAAACGAGGTGCAAGGGAATGCAGCAGGCAAAAATACAGAAGCTGTACCGATTATAATCTGCAGTACAATAAACAACCTGGGATTACTTACGTTTATCCACGTTTAATGCAAGTGGAGCTGCGCAGCACACAATACGAGCAGTAATTTGCAGCTAACACTGGGGAATTGTCTAGTACAAACACCCTTTTTTCTAGCCTGCACTAATGGGCTTCATATTTGAACTTGAAAAAGACAACTTTCTATGCTGATACAATGCACCATTTTCACCCTAAGCCAACATTTTGCCCTAAGTGAGAAGAAAGTGTTAATGTTAGCTTAGGGGAGGGATAGGTGGGCAGTTTCCCAAAAACCTGAATTGATCCGAGACTTATTGAGATGCCTCCCACTCTTCTTTATGCAAGACACCCATAGAAAGAAAGAAGAGAAGCTACGTACTCTTTTGATTGAAATGCTGATTAAAAGTTTATATTATATTTTAATAGATATTAATGCAGGTTATGTTAGGCACATACCATTATAAGAACTGGTTCAGATATCTTGGCTACGTTCCTCCACCGCACGGATTTTATTTTGCCAATTTGTGATCGTCTAAACCTTACAATCTTCAAGAACAATCAATGCAATCAACCCATATGAACATACTGAACTGATAAAAACCAACAACTGAAAATGAAGGTAATGTCAACCACTATAAACTTCAAGCATGTTATATACAACTGATTGAAGAAACGTTGCTTTGAAAAGATATAAAAAGCCATGATCGATGGGACGTAATGGATTTATGGTAGAACTTTACAGGCATTGCAAATTTAAAGGTTTTCCAGAAAAGTTTACATTATCGAAGCTTTTCCCGACAGTGTATTCCAAAAAGATCAAACAGTTTCCGGCTTTCTTAACGATAAGCTCACAACTATGCCTGTGCAAGGAACATAAGAGATCTCTACAGTTAAAGAGTGTAGCCACACTTGAAAATCATGAGATAGGACCTAAAAGCTTTCTTAGAAGACAAAAAGACAAGGCATGCCTTAAACAAAGTATTCTAAGGATTTGCATCTGCATGAGCAGCTTGTGACAATGTAAACTTTTGTTGAAAGAACTTTATATATGCCAAGTGTTAATGAACGAATACCTTGAAGCTTCATCATTCATGGTTGATACTTTTAAAGCGACAACGTTTTTTCAATCAGGTAGTTGTAGTTCAATTTTCTCCTTGGTATACAGCTAAATCAAAAAAGGTTGCTTTAGTACTTGGTTATTGACAATTGGACCCAGGGGGGTATATGGGCTATATAGGTATGTGCCGCTTTGAAGGGTATGGTTTTCAAGCAGTTTACTCTAGGATAGGGTTTATAAATCAGAGTGTTTGGGTCTAGAATACAGTATTTTTTTTTCAGGAAACTGATCAGTTGGTTGAAGATTTTATCTAGACGACTAGGGATTGTGGTAAAAGGTTTTGTTTTGGCTAGACTATGCTAGTGACCTCAGTAGTTTCTGGAAAACAGCTACTCTAGGATAGGGGGGATTTGGGGAGTTTACTCTAGTATATGGTAGCAAAATTCAGCTGAACTAGCTCTGGTATAGGTTAAGGGTTCCAGGGTCCCAGCGGCACAGCCCCACCCAGAAATTCCTAAAGTAGCCCCCACCCCCGGGCAATGGGGCATTGGCCATTTGGGCATAGGAAACAATGCAATGATTTTTTTTTAATCCTTTGCTTGAGTGAACACCAAACAATACCTTCCAAATGCGCAATTCCCAATGCCCAAAGCAACCTTTATTGAATCAGCTGTACCCATAAGACGGTGCATTTACAGAAGCTAAAAGGGATACAGCGTTCTCAGCAACCGATCATTATCATACATACATATTGTACCTTTAAATAAATAAATGTAAATGCAGCACCCAACAGTCCACCAATAATGCCGAGAATAACAGTAGGTATGAATGCCAGAATGTTTACACCAATGTCGTAGCTAACCTGCAATGAAACAAACATATCAGATTGGGGCGCACTTAAAGCTGGGGACCATTACAGGGATGGAGATGTGTAAAAATACAGATCATGCAGCAAATTCCACCCATACTCAGATGCAAACAAAAGGCATGTGCTTCTGTTTGAACTTGTATATCAAAATACACTACACTAATACAGCCACATTATGGCTACATTAAATGTGTGAAAAAATACTTTTAATTTACCACGATACTTGCCTGAAATATTATGTTCTTTTCAGCTTTGAACAATCCAAAGTCTCCTTGATACTTGAATCCTTTCAAAGCTGAATTCAACAAAACCTATATAACAGCAAAATTAAATAAGACATTTATTTTAATATCTCACTCTTTCAGGGTGACCAACAACTCAAGGGAAGTTTTTATTTTTATCTAATAAAGTTTACTTTGCACTGTCCCCCTATCTTTGAGCATAAAATTTGTATCGAAACATCAGTTCTCCAGTCGAAACATCAAATTGACTGGGACTCTGCGACATGTATAACGTATTCTACAGACTACTATCAACGTCTTACTTTAGAAAACTGGTTTACTAACTTAAAACAAACACCACTGAATCGTAGCCAACAGTTACCAGCGCCTTACAAACGACTTATTGACGAGATCAAGCAAAACTAACTATGAGAGAACGACTGGAGAACTGACAATTTACTAACAATAGACGACTGTTTAACTGTGACAAAAGACGGATCGAAACGCACCAATTACTGATTATGAGTCTTCATAGCCAATAACATCACGGCTTAACTTACAGACGACCAATAACATCGCGACGTAATTGACCAATCAGATCAATAACCAGAATATAATACCATCAACTGACGTGATACAACTCACTTTGACTCTGAAGATGACTACCGCACACGGGTTGGCGAAACGTCAGTCACTGTCAACAACAGTCCCATTCAGGACTACGTTCACCCGGACGATCAAACTTAACTTACTTTTGATTAATTATGCTATTACCTATACTAACAATATTGGTCTAAATATTCTGAACTACTTACATCACTCTTAAAAGTGGAATAGAAACGCAATTTTTTGTAAGATGGCAACATGTTCATTTGATTCTTTTTAAAGTAATCTATGATAGCCTGTTTTGTTTCTGGCAACTTTGAGTTAACTAATTTTGGCTCTTCAATGGATAGACAGGATATTCTGCATTTATGTTAGACTACGAGTAGTCCCTCATTTTTCCTCAAGGATAGTAGAGCGAGCGAAACGCGACCGCGCGTGAAAATCACCCCACGCGAGAAAAGGCGACACATGGCGGGGAGAGAGAAAAATCATTTTTCTCTCTCCCCGCCATGTGTCGCCTTTTCTCGCGTGGGGTGATTTTCACGCGCGGTCGCGTTTCGCTCGCTCTACTATCCTTGAGGAAAAATGAGGGACTACTCGTAGTCTAACATAAANGGGGAGAGAGAAAAATCATTTTTCTCTCTCCCCGCCATGTGTCGCCTTTTCTCGCGTGGGGTGATTTTCACGCGCGGTCGCGTTTCGCTCGCTCTACTATCTCTGAGGAAAAATGGGGGACTACTGGTAGTCTACATTTATGTGCACTGTTGATGCTTTCACAGAAAGCAATTAATATTTAATTCTTCTTGAGCTTATTACAGTTAAGAAAATAACTGCCTCTCTGGTCATTAAAACACCTATCATGTTAAACGCCCCTCTTGGACCTTAAAATTAAATACAGTGGAAGCTCTCATTTGCGGACGCCCTTGGGACGACAAAAAAGGTGCCCATAACTGAGGCTGGCTACCTGTTGTACAAGAATGGTTCTCAGAGCGGCCACTAGAGGTGAAGGAGTTAAATGGCCACGTACTTTTGGGAGCCCACCCAGCTACAAATAAACATTGAAAATGCAACAAAACTGTTTGTTACTGTTTGGCAATACTGTTGTACTGACAATGTTGCAAGATAGTCACCACCATAAAATTCAAGTGGTCTTTCGAAGTGTAACCATGAAAAAAAGTATGTAAGAAAACCATCACAGAAACTGATATACCGCACATTTATTTTAAAGACCGGTGATTTAAAGTTAATTTATGAAAGTACAAGATTCAGAGGAGACTAGGATTTTATTTCGGGTGTTCTCTTACTGGCAGCTTAAAAAACAAAGCCAAAATCTAACTAATAAACCCTAAACATGTCCGCGGCTTCTTACAGAAGGAATGTAAAAATACAGAGTTTTTATAGGATTTGAACCAGGGATTTATGAAGGCGGCTGAAAGAAGAGCTAGCAGTCCAATTACAAGAGTCTCCTTAGGAGAGCTTTCGCTAGACCTAAGCTTGAGTGTACAAGCAAGTTTTCCACCCAACAGGAGATGACAAGCAAACTATGTGTCCTGCTGCATTCTAATGTATGAAAGAAAATGACATAATTTGTAAATTTATTATACTTACTGTAGTGAATGTTGACACCATGCAGGCAAAGAATGTTTGCCAGGATAATTTCATGTTCCAAAAAGAAGACACCTCTTCCATAGAAAAGAGCAGACCACCAACAGGAGCCCCAAACGCTGAGGCCACACCTGCTGCTGCACCAGCAGAAATAAAGTTACGCCTGGTAAAAGGGATTTGATACACTTAACATCACTAAAACTTACTTAATCTTTTAGACTTAAACAATTGACAATTATTATTATTGAACTTGGTAATCGAAAAATATCCTGATGTTTCAGTGGGGAGCACAAAAATAATTGATCTGTGAGACACTGATCTGCAAGACACATTCGATCACTGAGTTTGTTTTTTAATCAAAATCTCTTTGGGGAGCAAAGCGATCTGCCATTTTCACGCATGAGCGATCCCAAGGAGGAAAAAAGCATGGTTTNTGACATAATTTGTAAATTTATTATACTTACTGTAGTGAATGTTGACACCATGCAGGCAAAGAATGTTTGCCAGGATAATTTCATGTTCCAAAAAGAAGACACCTCTTCCATAGAAAAGAGCAGACCACCAACAGGAGCCCCAAACGCTGAGGCCACACCTGCTGCTGCACCAGCAGAAATAAAGTTACGCCTGGTAAAAGGGATTTGATACACTTAACATCACTAAAACTTACTTAATCTTTTAGACTTAAACAATTGACAATTATTATTATTGAACTTGGTAATCGAAAAATATCCTGATGTTTCAGTGGGGAGCACAAAAATAATTGATCTGTGAGACACTGATCTGCAAGACACATTCGATCACTGAGTTTGTTTTTTAATCAAAATCTCTTTGGGGAGCAAAGCGATCTGCCATTTTCACGCATGAGCGATCCCAAGGAGGAAAAAAGCATGGTTTCATTTTTGCATGAGCAGAATATCATTTGCAGCCAAACACGTCAGTTGGACGACGTCACGCATGAGCAGACCTTTATTGTAGGTAGTCATTTGCAGGTCACATGGTCAGGGCTGTCAACCCCCACATCATCAAATATTGAGAAATGATAGATGACATCATATCGCACGACAAATAACGTCATTTGTTCCAAAAATGTTTGTTGATTCCGATCGACATGTATAGCACATAAACATTTCATATTTAGCCACATTATTGCTTAAATCACAGTGGCATACAAGAATTTATGAGGAAATGTTCCATGCTAACAGAAGCTCAAAAAAATGCAAATATTTGAAATTAATTTTTATGGTCAGAAAGTCGAATCTACAAGAAATAGCAACTTTGGCGATTACACGGGAGATATCAGACTCTAATCTGGAGCTGGGGAGATAGGGTACAAAATCTGGAGTCTCCCGGATTATCTGGGAGAGTTGACAGCACTGCGTGGTGGGCTTTTGGCCAATGAAAAGAAAGAAAAATTTGTATCAAAGGTGTGCAGCAGCTCCTTACCTGTCTTCTGTGTTCCGAAATCTTTCAAAGAATGGCAACTGAAATTTAAGGGTGTCTGACTTGAACTGGCTCAGGCCTGCACCAACCAAACTCCTACAAACAAAAATATATAAACTGTAATTAGTGAGTCAACACATACCAATATGATAATGCCAAATGTATGGGATGGTTTAAATAAAAGAACATATCTCCATGCAATGGGTTACACATTACATGTATGTATGTATTATTGTCAATGAAAACAGAATTAGAGAGAGGATACAGGTCCAGTGTTGGGACAACTTCTTAGACATCTGCCTCTACATTTGCTTTTATTTATTATAGAAACAGTGGGGTGTTCATTAGGTTTGATAGAAAATAAGAAGGGAGGTTCTACTTAATTTTTAGGAATAGTGGCAACATGGTAAAATCTAAAGCTCCCCCATCCTGGTCCCTATAGGCGTTCTCTCTTGATCCATTGTCCATGCGAAGTCTGGGAGAGAGGGAGCGAGAGAACGAGTATCTCTTGGTAACGTCACAGCTTATGGTAGAGTCCAGGAATGACCGAGCCGAAAACGCCTGGGGACTAGGCTGAAGCTCCCCCAGATGCAACTCTGGGATAAAAAGAAACACAACACAGAGACACCCCATCACAGACAAGACCTACTTCTTTTAGCTGTACCATTAATTTTTAATATCTCTATAATATTACTTGACTAATTAAATTTGTGGAATATTAATTTAATTTTTGGATTATGCAAAATGTAACTATCCTAGATTTCTTTGATTTACATACCCCAAATGAATCATAGGTCCTTCTGGACCAACAGGAAGGCCTGCACCAACTGCACATACACAGGAGAAGAACTTGATAAGCATTGTCTTGATACTGAAAATATGTTTCACGACTGTACCATTCAAGAACCCAATTAATTCAGGTATACCTGACCCTTCAGCAGAATTAGGACGGAAATACTAAAAGACGATAATCAAAAAACACAATGTATTACATTTTTGTTAGTAATTTGAAGAGATTTTATGCGTACATAACTGCGACGATCATTCTTCATTTAATGAAGTCATACTATTATAATTGATAACAGTATGTATAAAATTGATCTGACCATAACTTATGAAATAACGTTTGTGGTGTCATGCATTTACACAGTCTTGCACTGATTTTAAGAATTAGGATCTGAATAAAGGGACCATTCAGGGGTTTTTTAAAAATCGTATTGTGCACTTTGTTAAACGGGGTCAAAATCTGAAATTAAGACAAACAAGTTCGCACTTACCACAACTGGAACAGAACTTGCCAAGACAAAAAAAACACTATATCCAATGACCCATACCCAAGCCAAGCCAAAGTCTCTATCCTAAAAAAAAAGATAAACTTGTAAAGTTAAGAATATAGGAATGTAAATTTAGCAATTAATACAGTAGCTCTAGATTCACTATGGCTCTGTGATTGCTGTTAAATTCAGGTGTCTGATTCAGAAAATTGATTGTATTCACTCCATTGACACAAAACTTTGCTCCACTTCAAGACACAGTTTCATGAAATAAAGAAGACAGTATGGTACCAGAGAGTCACGTTAAACTTGGTCGTGGGTCACAGTTCAGTTAGCTGTTGGGAACCCCATAGTGGAACCACTATTTAGGTGTGGTATTAGCTGGTACTTAAAGAGAAATCATCAAGGACAATGTTCAAACTGAACAGAATAGGATAGTTGAACTTGCCTAGTACAGGAATAGCTGTATCCATGTCTACATTTTTGTGTTCTTTCTGTTTCTTCATGATATACAGTGATTTTGTTACAAATAGTTTATATGGTGAGTCCTGGGACTCATCTTGTGCAAAATCACTAGTCCCAGTCCAGAACCTGTGATCGAGTCCCAGTTAAAAAAAAAAATGAGTCCAAAATTGAAAATGCCAATGGGCCTTTATGTATTACCAGACAGTTAATCTGACTTGACAGACTCCAAAACTCTGTATTTTTGAGTATACTGAAATTAAAATCATTGTCTTTCTATTTTCAAGCACAAAAAAGGCTAAATAGAAATATTCATCATTAAACAACAGCCATGCATAATAACTGCCACAGAAATGACACAAATTAGATATTTCTACAAAAAACACATGTTCAGATTGATCAACTGACCATGAATTATTTTGTATCTTTAAGGATTTTTATGCAGCAGGGATGCAGGACAAAGAAGTAACAAAATCACTGTCATGATTATGTTAATTAGAATAATTTAGCATACATTAGTGTTGCATGTGCTCATGTAAAATCACTGATCCATATATTAAATCTTTGAGTCTAACATGGCAGTTGTGTGCATTGGTGACTAAATATTACAATCGCTGGATATTAAGGATAGCATCTGTAGTTGGTGGAACCCTTTGTTCTCTCAGTATTACATTGAGACCCTGCCGGGGGGGGGGGGGGGGCCCAATGTCCCGCTGGGAATTTTTTAACAGTACCTGGGGGGGTTTTTTAAATGTTTTTGTCTTTTTTTGTGTTTTGCGTATTGTTGTTATTATTTATAATAAATATAAATAGTTATTTAGTAATTTTTATGTATTTAAATCACATTCATATTTTAATTTGTATGGTTTGTGTTGTTAGTTGGTGGGTGTTGGGTTTTGTATACAATAAAGTAAAATGTGGGGATATGGTGGGGTGTTTTGGTGGTGTGCGCTCTTTTTTTTTTTTCCTATATGGCGCGGCGGGGGGGGGGGGGGGGGGGGGGGGGGGTCCCATGTCGCCCGTCTGAATTTTTAAAACGTCTCATGGCGGTGTTTATAAATGCTTGTCGCTTATTGTTGGCTTTGCCGTCACTGTGGCAATTTTGCGGAGGGAGGTTGTCTCTTGTCGCGATTTCATTTTACATGCTGTCGCTACTTTTTGGGCCATGTCGCTTATCGGAATTTACCCTGGCAGGGCCTCTACATTCCACCTGCCAACAAACCTCCCCCACCACTCCAATCAATGCTACATACCACCTCAGGGTAACCTACTATGTGTTCTTTACTCATCCCAAGGACAGCTTCAAGATGTCAGTGATTGATGAAGAAAAACGTAAACAAGCCCTTAACAGTACCTTTATAAACTCAGAAGCCTTATCCCACTTCAACCTGTTAAAAAAGGAACAAATGTTTTTAGTACAACAATTGCCACACTTATCCCACTTCAACCTGTTAAAAAAGGAACAAATGTTTTTAGTACAACAATTGCCGCACTAACTGAATAAAACAATATTGTTTGGAAATTGCAGGGTAAGCATGTTCTAGCAGCACCCTGAGCGGGCCCTGGCGCCTTCCTATTGCTCTTGGGTGACTGGAAAAGCTAAGCTTCTTTAGAAAAATCATATGCTGCGCACATTGGATTTCACAGGTTCAGAGCAATGGGCTCCCTTCAGTTTTTCTTAGAGCACGGCCTTGAAATGGTATAGAATACGCGGAAAGATGATAGTGATCTGGGTCCTGCTTCTCAATATTCCTGATAATTTTCAGAGCTGAATCCATATTCTTAAATCAAGACCTAAATTAAATTAGTTAGGTCCTAGCTCACAAACCTTTCCATTTTGTTTTGCTTTTAATGGTTCTATTCTATTAGCTTTTAAAACTTCTGTGTCTTCAATAATTTGACCTCAAATGTAAAGAGCAAAAACAACTGCCAGTAATGATTTTTCCATCCCTAGATTATACAAACTTGAGAAACTGATCCCGTGCCAGATACTAAGGAGACTAGCCATATAAAAGTGACAGGGATGCGTGTCATCTTACTCAGGGATGTAAATTGCAGATACTTGTCTCACTTATTGGGCTGTTTGGGATACAAGGTCACTATATTTTCCCATTCGGATATTGCTTAGGGTTGTGCAAAAAGAAATTTACAAAAAGTGTTGTGACACAGACCACACAGAAATCTAAAGTTTAAAAAAGACCACAATCTCTCTCTTATTTTCCTCTTTTTCTCAGCTCTTATTTAGATGTCTGTTTTAGCATGGTCTGCTTTTTAGCAGTCAGGATAAGCTTGAGCCACACCCACATTTGTCTCCCTGAGGGGCATAGTTTTAATTTTCGAAAAAGCATCCCAGTCACTTTTATATGGGAGTCCCCCCGGACAGCTACTGTGCTGATAAAAACAGGTGATTTGTTCAGAGAAGGAAAGCTAAGATTGAGACAAATTTAAGGAAACTGTAATTGTGTAAAAAATCTGTTCTTACTTTGATATGACATCAATTAGTTGATGCATCAGAAACCCAATGACTCCAACAGAGAAGCCAATCATTCCCATCATAAGCCAGCGATCCCAGTCCAGCCGTGATGGCTGCTGTTCTAGCCAGTTCTAAAATGAAGCATCAACAAAAAATGTTACTGTAAGTTGTAAATGTGTGGAATTACATCTTATACTTTTTTATGCTACTTAAATAAAATGTTTAATGCTTTAATATTGTGCTAGTAACAACTGCAGCTCCTAGCTTAGTACTGATTTTGTAATTTTGTAGTGACACAACCATGGTAAAATAAAGGAAGAAAAAACAGAAAGTTGATTTTGATATTTTGGCTTCACGATTACATTGTTTTTGCTTCAAATGAATGAAACTGTCAGAGTAAATGGGGAATCAGAAGGTATCTTTTAGTATAAAATTAAATATGTGTTATGCGTAACGTCACATATACATTTTAGATTCATAAAACTTTAGACAAACAAATTTCAAGGACTATTCAAGGATTTTTCAAGGACAAAGTATAGTTTTCAAAGACTAAATTTATCCAATAAATCAGAATTCTTTAACCTTTTTTTAACAACTCATGCATGGCTAAACATACCATGGAGTCATTTACGATTTTTACTTTTTCAGCCATGGTTGATCATGTTATTTTAAACTTTCTGCAACAACACTTTGAAAAATGACTTGCAAGTGCATCTCAGGAACAGAAATAACATTTGAGATAAAGAAACAGAAACTTTTCTGAGAATATCTGTTGAGGATTTAAATGAACTTTATACACATGCCATGTAAGGAGAAAGATTAGACACCCGGAAAAATCTCTGATTTACTTAGATCAAAATTAATGATAATAGGATACTTGTTAATGAACTTAATATTTAGCAATTATTGAATTCGGCTTTTGTAGGATATGGAGAATTCTTCAGATCAAGGGGGGAATTTTCAGCCTTCATGGATAACACCCTCTGAGATTTGCAAAATTCTTCATATCCTACGAAAGACTAGACTCGAGGAGTCTCTCTTTTTTCTTGGTCTATTGAGCAAAATGCGCAAGACATGCAAATGACCATGCGCGTGTAAAGACATGACAGTTCCACCATTTTGTTCAAACAACCGAAACAACTCCACGTCATCTCCAGGTTTTCTTAGTCAACAGTTAGTTCAATAACCTACAACTGGCTGCACTTTTGACATCATTTTGACATCATCAGTTCAATATGGTGAATTATGCATGTGGTTTAAACCAATCAGAAACGGGGAAATATTTTGAATCAATAATAAAAATTTATTTTATTATTTATTCAAAATATTTCCCCAATTCTGATTGGCTAAAAGCACGCGCATAATTCACCATAACTAGTTACTGATGACCAAATTTGGAAGAATTCTGTGTTTAACGAGGAAACGACGTCAAAAATGCAGCCCACTACAGGTTAATGCACTGTTAACCGAGAAGACCTGGGGACGAGGTTGAGTTGTTTTGGTTGTGGCAAAAAAATGGCGGACACTTCACTCGTTTCAAGAGTAAGAACTTACGGTGGCCCACAACTATCACAACAAAACCAAAAACCTCACAACAAAAACAAAATACCTCACAGCAAAACTAAAAACCTCACGGAAAAAACAAAATACCTCACAGCAAAACCAAAAACCTCATGGCAAAAACAAAATACCTCATGATCAAGGCAAAACCGAAAACCTCACGTCAAAAACAAAAACCTCACAGCAAAACCAAAAACCTCACAGCAAAAACAAAATACCTCACGACAAAACCAAAAACCTCACGGCAAAACCAAAGACCTCACGGCAAAACCAAATACTTCACAGCAAAAACCAATACCTTACGGCAAAAGCAAATACCCACTGCAAAACCAAAGCTATTTTGCTTTCGCTGTGAAGTATTTGGTTTTGCCGTGAGGTTTTTGGTTTTGCTGTGAGGTATTTTGTTTTTGCCGTGAGGTTTTTGGTTTTGCCGTGAGGTATTTTGTTTTTGCCGTGAGGTTTTTGGTTTTGCCGTAATATTTTTGTTTTTGCCGTGAGGTTTTTGGTTTTGCTGTGACAGTTGTGGGCCACCATAAGAACTACAGCTGGAACTAGGCAAAATGATAGCTAAAAACATAGCAAAAACAGCAAAAAGACAACTCGGAGTGCGACACCTGCTACTTGGAAAATATTTGTGGAGATGGACAAACCTGCACGTACACTATCGAAGATGAACTTAACATCGATGCAGGTAAGCATGTACTAGCAATGTTTTTAAAGTAAGAATTATTTTGAATGAATAATAAAGCAATTAATGAATTCTGCTTTCATAAGATATAAAGAATTAAGCAGATCTCGGAGGGTGTTATCCACCTCGGCCTTCGGCCTTGGTCGATAACACCCTCGATCTGCTTAATTCTTCATATCCTACTCAGCCTCATTCATTAATTGCTAATTATTTTTCCATGATGCACGTGATAGGTACCCCCCTCCCCCCGCCTTGCCGCCCTGTAGGGACACTACTTCAAACAGGGCACTTATTTGAAGGAGCCGCCAATTTGAGCATTTGCGGCTTCTTGTTAACTATATATCTTCTCCCTTCATTACCCCTCCCCCTCAAATATATTGTTTCTAAAAGAATGGTTCCTGTTTCTCAATGGTACACTGGTAACAATTCACGAGAAAAAGTTGCTGGGTAGGCACAGTAAAGAAATAGCAGCCCACCAGCCGGAAATTATTTCAAATTTAAGCATCAGAGAGACACTCCTGGGTTAAAGCCTCTAGTCAGCTAAATTAATTGCAAGTTATCCAGGACCTTAGGTCCGTAGGTGCAGCCATATTTACTTTATAGATAGTCTACAATACCTTGTAAACAGTACTGTGAGGTGGCAGATAGTCCACACTCTCAAATTTTCCAAGCTGTTCTCTCTCCTCCTCCGTGTAATGATGATTTACATAGCGACTTTCGAATTCACGGCCCTTTTGGAAGAAGCTTATATGGGTTTCTGTAGCCCGCAGGGGGATATCTTCATGGGTCGATTCAGCATTCCTCCTCAAGGACATGTTGTTTTGCAAGGATCAGAGGTTCACAAGCTTAACAAGTTCGGTTAATCAAAGCAGGGCCGCTCCACAAACCCGCTGAACCTTTGATGAACGTACCCGCACAACGCTTCACTAAGCTATCCTTCCTGTCCTTGGGTATTGCTCTCGCTAGGGCAAAGGATATTACAAGAACGAACTATCGCTACAAGTGGGCATCTGAAGAATCAATTACGTCACATACAGTTGCTCACGTACACATTCATTTTGGAGATATCCATCACGGAAACTAGCATAGTAATTAACTCGTTTAACACATCTACGATAAAAACATTCAATTACTATCACAGACTCAGTGGATGGGGGTATACAGATTTTTATAGAAACACGGGAAAAAAACTGGCAATAGAACTTGAACTCCCCAAACAAATTGGTAAATGAGATCTAGAAAGTCGGGTTGTGAAAAGAGTGAGGATGTTAAACTTTTGTGCGTTAGAAAGAGTAAGATAAACCAAATAAGCTAGGGCAAAGGATATTACAAGAATGAACTATCGCTATCAAGGGGGCTTCTAAAGAATCTATAGCGGTACTCACCTATATCGGCTACGAAATGTCAAACTGGCACTAATGTTGTAAACACTGAGCCGCAGGGCACGCACGTGAGGCACGACTTCGCTCCACTGCGTTCGGACACAGTTACATACTACATACGGGCACTGTTAACTGTTCGCTCAGTTTAACCCAGAAGGCGTTGCGTGTTTCGATTTCTTCCCATTTCAGCGCAACATTTTATTTTTCCTCAACTTTTTTAAAATGCAACACGTCACAGGAAAAAATAACGGATTCCCATTTTTGGATATTTTAGGGTATTTCAAGAATACCCATGAAAATCCCAAATTTGGCAAAGTGAGACAAGTCCCAACCAGGCAATTCCCAACCAAGTTCCCTGGTTGGGACTTGTCTCACTCTTCCAAATTTGGGATTTTTGTGGGTATTCTTTAAATTCCCTAAAATATCCAAAAATGGGAATCCGTTATTTTTTCCTGCACACGCCTTTTTAGAGGTCTATATCTCGGATAAGGTCGGACGACGGACTTTACACTTCGAGAAAACAAAGACTATTGCATTATAATACTATGATAAGATCTGTATTGCATTATGTCAGTTCAATCTGGACTAGTTGTGATAAGTTAAATTTAAGCCTTGTTTTTAAGCTACAAAAGAGGGCAGCAAGGGTAATTTCCGCACTCCAGTACCCTTGCAACGCTTGAAACCCTTGCAACACTTGAAACCCTCGCAACGCTTGAAACACTTGCAACACTTGAAACGCCTTAAACCCTGGCAACGCTTGAAACACTTGCAACACTTGAAACGCCTTAAACCCTCGCAACGCTTGAAACACTTGCAACACTTGAAACGCCTTAAACCCTGGCAACGCTTGAAACACTTGCAACACTTGAAACGCCTTAAACCCTGGCAACGCTTGAAACACTTGCAACACTTGAAACGCCTTAAACCCTTGCAACGCTTGAAACACTTGCAACACTTGAAACGCCTTAAACCCT